AGTTTTTATTATGAATGGGTGTTGGATTTTGTTCTTTGCTTTTTCTGTATCTTTCAAAGCCATCATGGCATTTTACTTTTTTTAGTCTGTTGATGTAACAATTACATTAATTGATTTTTATATTGTTGAGCCACCCTTGCATACCTGTGATAAATCCAGCTTGGCCATGCTATATAATTTTTTTTAGACTTTTGTGGATTTAGCTTGCTAATATTTTGTTAAGGATTTTTCCATCATGTTCATGAGAGATATTGGCCTTAGTTTTCTGTTCTTGTAATGTCTTTGGTTTTGGCATCAGGGTAATGCTGTCCTCCTAGAATGAGTTAGGTAGTCCCTCTGCTTTTGTCTTCTGAAAAACTATAGAAAATTGATATAATTTATTCTTAAGTGTTTGGTAAAATTCACCAGTGAATCCCTCTGGGCCTGGCAATTTCGGTTTGGGAAAGTTATGAATTATTAATTAAATCTCTTTAATAGGAGCACCTGGGTGGCTCAGTGGTTGAGCATCAGCCTTTGGCTCAGGTCGTGATCCCGGGATCAAGTCCCACATAGAGCGCCTCAGGGGAGCCTGCTTCTCCCTGTCCCTGTGTCTCTGCCTCTCTCTGTGTCTCTCATGAATAATTAAAATCTTTTAAAAATATAATAAAATAAATAAATCTCTTTAATAGCTAATAGACTTTTCAGATTGTTTATATCATCTTGTGTGGGTTTTGGTAGCTTGTGTCTTTCAAAGAATTGGTCTATCAATGCAGGTTGTCTAACTTGGGTGCACAGAGTTGTGTGTAGTATGTCTTTATTATGCCTTTTTTTTTAAGATTTATTTATTCATGAGAGACACAGAGAAAGAGAGGCAGAGACACAGGCAGAGGAAGAAACAGAGGGAGAAGCAGGCTCCCTATCGGGAGCCCGATGCAGGACTCAATCCCTGATCCCGGGATCACACCCTGAGCTGAAGGCAGATAGATGCTCAACTGCTGAGCCATCCAAGCGTCCCCTTTATTATGCTTTTAATTTCTGTGAGTTCTGTAGTGATATCTTTCTTTGGTTTTTGGTTCTCTCTCCTTTTTCTAAGGTAGTAGCCTGGCTAGAGGCTCATCGATTTTATTCATTTTCTCAAAGAACCAGTTTCTGGTTTTGTTGATTTTTTCTTAATGGATTTCCTGTTTTCTGCTTTAATTTTTATTATTTCTTTTCTTCCATTTTTGGACCTGGACCTTTCTTTTTCTAGTTTCCTAAGGTGGAAGCTTAGATGATTGATTTTAGACCTCTTTTCTTTTCTAATTGGTACACCCAGTGTTACAGACTTCCTCTAAGCATTGTTTTTGCTGTATCTCACAAATTTTGATAAGGTGTGTTTTCATTTTCATTTAGGTCAAAAATTTTAAATTTTTTCTCAAGATTCTACCTGTGTGTCCTTTGGAAGCGTGTTGGTTGATCTCCGTGCATCATGGGGATTTTCCTGCTCTCTTTCTCGATTTCCAGTTCTGTTCCACAGTGCTCTGAGAGTAGATGCAATGTATGATTTCTGGCCTTTTAAATTTGTTCAGGCGTGTTTTACAGCCCAGCTCGTGGTGTGTGCTGGTGCATATTCCACATGGTCTTGAGCAGAATGTTCTGCCCCTGTTGGATGAAGTGGTCGGTGGTTGTGCATTAGATCCAGCTGATGCTGGTGCTGTTGAGTGCCACTGGATGCATATCGATCTGCTGCCTGCTGCTCTGTCCACGGCTGAGGAGGGCTGCTGGTGGCCCTGGCTACCTTCGTGGACTCACCTGTTTCTCCTTGCAGTTCTGTGTGCTGTTGCCTCATGTCATTTGATGCCATGCTGTTGGGCCCATACACCTCCAGCACCACTGTCTTGAAGAACTGACCCCCGTGTCCTGTCAGGCTCTCCTTTATCCCTGATGACTCTCCTTGCTTGTCTGCTCTGTCTGCAACTAGCTACTCCTGATTGATTTTGAATTGTGCTACCATAGTACTTTTTTCTCCAGCCATTTACTTTTAATGTATATGTATCTTTATATCTGAAGTGGATTCCTCGTCGACAATGTACAGTTGGGGCTTGTATTTTGATCCACCTGACTCATTCAAGTGGTGCGTTTATTTTATTTATATTTTTAGATTTTTATTTATTTGTGAGAAAGAAAGCATGCAGGAGCAGGGGGAAAGGTAAAAAGAGAGAGAGAAGCAGGTTCCCTGCTGAGCAGAGAACCCAGCGCAGGGTTCCATCCCAGGACCCCAGGATCATGACCTGAGCAGAGGGCAGGCACTTCACTGACTGAGCACCCCCCACTCACTGGTGCATTTAGACCACTGACATTGCCAGTGACATGAAGATTGTCGGGTCCCTGGCCACTGTGTGTACTGTTTTCCATCTGATGTCCTTGCTCCTTGTTCCTATTTTTGGAACTCTTTTTCTGTTTTTTTTTTTTTTTTTTTTTTTTTTTTTGTAGTTTTAATTGAGCATTTTACGTGATTTCACTTTCTCTCCTCTTATGGCATATAATTTTGTACTTTTTTCTTTTTAACCTTTTTTTAGGTTGCCCTAGAGTTTGCAACATACACTCACAACTAATTTCCATCCACTTTCAAAGACACTATACGACACAGCCCCGGGGGTACTTTACAATAATAGAATGATCCTAGTTCTGCCTCCTGTCTTTACTTTGTTGCTGTCGCTCATTTTACATGTCTATAAACATGGGAGTGGGAATGCTCTGTGTGCATAAAGGATGTACATAAGCATGCAGATTGACATGTTCTTGCTATTACTATTTTGAACAAACTCTTATCTGTTAGATCAGTTAAGAAAAACCAAAGGTTTGGGGCATCTGCATGGCTCAGTTGGTTGAGCTGAGTCTGCTGGAGATTCTTTCTCTCCCTCTGCCCCTCCACACTCACATTCTCTCCCTCTCTGTCAGATAAAATTTTTTTATTTTTATTTTATTTTTTTAAAAATTTTTTTTAAAAAGGAAAAATAAAAATTTTCATTTTACCTTCACATCTTCTCTCTTTCACTGTGCAGACCCAAGTTTCTGACCTCTATTATTTTTGTTCTCTCTAAAGAACTTCTTTTCACATTTCTTGCAAAGTAGGTCTACTGGCAACAAGTTCCCTTGATTTTTGTTTGCCTGAGAGCCTTTATTTACCTCTGTTTTTGAAGGATAAGCTCACAGAGTTCTGAGTTCTGGGGTGGTGAGTGTTTCCTCTCCACACTTAAATATCCCCCGTGTCTCTTCTTGCTTGTATGCTTTGCAGGGACAAGTCAAATACAGTGCTTATCTTATTCCTTTAGGCAAGGTGTTTGTCTTCTGATTTCTTTCAGGATTTTATGACCTTTGATTTTTTTCTCAAAGACTCTATTTATTCATGAGAGACACAGAGAGAGACAGAGACATAGACAGGAGAAGCAGGCTCCCTATGGGGAGCCTGATGTGGGACTTGATCCCAGGACCCAGGATCACGACCTGAGCTGAAGGCAGATGCTCAACTATTGAGCTGCTAGGTTCCCACCTTTGATTTTCTGCAGCTTGTCTGTGGAATGCCTGGGTGTCATGTTTTGGACATTCGTCCTGCCAGATGTTCTCTGAGCTTCCTGTGTCTGCAGTTCAGGTGTTTCTCCGCTCATTCCTCCCATCCTTTCCTTGTGGCCTCCCCATGGGCACACGTCACACCTTCTGTGCTTGTCTTGTGGTCCTTGGCCATTCTGTTGGGTATCGTTGGGTCCCTAAGAACGTGGATGGTCTGCTTTGCCATTGGGAGCCTCTGGCACTGGGATGGGATCCTCTTGTCGGCCGCATCCACTCCATGGGTGAGTCCATCAGAGATGTTCTTCATTTCTGTCTCGGGGTCATCCATCTCCAGAGTCTCCTCATTTTCTCAGGACATCCTTCTCTCTGCTCACCTTGCCCCTCTGTTCTAGCTTGCAGTCAGGCTTATGCATTAGAGTCCCAAGCGTGTCCATCCTGGTGGTTTTAAGCCCCTGGGCTGGGAGTTGCAGGATCCCTGCTGCACCTGCTTCTGCTGCTGCTCTGTGTCTTCAAGTTGTTTCTTTGCGTTGTGCTATGGCTTGTCATTTTTCTCAGCACCAGATGTGGGATACGGAGCAAAAGGGCCTGCTGTGAGCGGGCCAGCGGGGAGGGGGCCAGGCTCGGGGGTGGCCTCGTCCCAAGTGCTGTGCTTGGGGCTGGGTCTCTGGTGTGCCACGCCTCTGGACTGAGAGTGCTGAGAAGTCCCGCTCACCCCTCGCCAGCCCAGCAGTGTTCACAGGGGTATCCTACCTGGGACTCTTGGTGGAAGCATCTAGCTGCCCTTCTTCTGTCGGCATCATGCATACAAATGCACTCAACCTGCGTGTCCACATCCACTTCCCCCTCCACCCTTCCTTCTTTGCCCTTTCGCCCCCACTAGTGAACTGCAGACCACCCTCCTGTCCCCACGTCCCTGTCCCTTCACATGCTGAAAACCCTGGGTTCCTCCACAGCCGAACCTCAGGGTCCCCGCTAGCCTTCAAGGCTCAGGCCATGACATCAGAGATGGACATGTCTCCTATGTGACGTGGTGCTGTGGTGACAGGACATGTCTTGGATTAACTCTGCACCGTGTGGTGTGTGAAATGGAGCTGGTGTCTTCAGTTGACGGCATCTGGCAGGACGTTGTGGTCTTGACTCCTCTGTCTAGGACGGGGGCTCTGCACATCACCTGACACCGGTGTGTCCGGTGTCCTGGCCATGGACTGCTGCACCATGCGCTCCTGGCCTGCACCATGCTGGCAGGAGTCAGACCTCCCGAACGTGCCTCTGAAGCCCCTGTTTACAGAGTGTGTTTGCGTCAGTGCTAAGCCCTTTATGTGAACACCATGGTCTCTTGGAAGTGGCAGCTCCTCATGGAGCAGGGCTTTGCATGGCACATCTTTGAATTAGAGGCCGTGATTAACACAGACCAAGTGCACAAGACACAGTCCTGTTATAAACTTGTACATGCCTGTGCATGTTCTCTTCAGGTACTGTTGGAAGAAGCAAAGGACTTGCTCTCTGACTGGCTGGACTCCACACTCGGCAGTGAGGTCACTGACAATTCTATTTTCTCCAAACTGCCCAAGTTCTGGGAAGAGGAATTCCACAAAGACATGGAAGCCCTGAACGTAAGTGTAGCCAGTGGACTGACGCTTGCTCTCTGGGCCCTGGTGCCTGAAAGGCCTCATGTGGCCCAGGCCATCATCCTAATTGCACGCACGCTAAATGAGGTTTAAAATGAGAACTGAGGGCACGAGGGGCTTCTTGGCCAGCATCTGGTCCTGCTGCTTCCCTGGGCGCTCGCCTGAGGCTGCTGTTGCGGAAGGAAGAACTGGGACTTTCTCTCATCGTCCCCAGGTTCTCCCTCCAGACGTCTTAACCCGCGTTAGTGAATACGTGCCAGAGATTGTGAACTTCGTCCAGAAGATTGTGGACAATGGCTACGGGTAAGATGTGCGCCCTCTGCGGGGCAGGGCTCCATCCAGGGAAGGCTTTCCAAGAAGGCAGCCTCTCCGTCTCTGAGTGGGGATGCAGAGCCGGGGACCCTCTGGGGGATAGGGTGCCACTGGCGCTGCTGTCACCAAGCCCACAGACCAGGTGGCTTAAACAGCAGAAATGTATTTCCTCACAGCTCCAGATGGCAGATGACTGAGGCCATCATGCCAGTGGGGCAGATTCCTCTGAGGGCCTTGAGGGAAGGATCTGTCCCAGCCCTTCCTTGACTTACAGGCAGTGGCTGTCTCAAACTGTTCACACACTTGTCGCTCTGCACATGGGCTGTTTGGGCTCCTTTAGTGTCCTGATGTTACCCTCTTATGTAGACACCTGCTTAGGAGTCACACTGGGTTAGGGCTCACCCTGGTGACCTCACCTAACTTCTGGGAAGGCTCTATCCAAATACATTTGTGTTTCGAGGTGCTGGCGGCTAGGACTACACCATATGAATTTGGGGAGGACATGATTGAGCCTGCAGCCTCACTGTAGCAGCACCCCTTCACACGCTGACCTCGTGGCAGGCCTCTGTGCTCTGTCCCACTGGGTCCTCAGCTTCAGGCTTGCTTCATAAGAGAGCTCTTTGGGCTTTCCTTGGTATTGGCTGCCATCAAACAGGTATTTAGCTGTAGGGACACCATCTCTTTGTTCAAGGCAAGGAGGAAAAGCAAGAGGGTGTTGCTGGCTATGCCCTGCCTACAGCAGGAGTCCCCAGCACTGACTTGCTCATGAAGGCCGGCACCTGGACCCAGCCCCGCCAGGTGGGCTGTGCAGGCCCTTTACTTGGGCCGAGGCCAGGATGGGGGTGCTGTAGGAGCTCGTGGCCTGCAGTCCACCGGGGTGCCCGGAGCTAAGAGCATGAGCATGGGGCCTAGACTGGTGAGCATGGACCTGCCAGGTGTCTGGAGGCATCAGCCCTGCCATGCGGGCAGTGAGGGCATTTATCTCTGAGTCACCTCCCAGGGCATGTGTGTTCCCTTGGGGGCCCTCACCTGGCTGTGATTCCACATACTCTGCCCTGGCCCCGGTCTATGATCCTAGTACCACCTGACTGCGGGAAACACTGTGCAAGTGTTCGAAGTCCATATGGTCAGAAATCAACAATGAATGGAGGCTCAAATGGGAGTGTTGTGTCTACAGCACATGGTACCTGTTTGTGGCGCTCCTGCTCTAGGAGCTCGCTTCCTGCTTCGCAGGGCAGACGAGGCATCCACCCAACAACGTGAGACATGCAGAACCCCTAGCACAGTCCCGGAGCAGCACAGGCCGCCCGGGAGTGATGGTGCCTCCTCTCTCCCTGTCACTTAACATGATCGCTGCAGGGCAACACCAGGGTGTGTGCCAAACTGAGTGATCGGGGCAAGGCCGTGGTGGGAGAAGGCAGATCATTCTGGGCTGGAGTAATCTGCTTCTGGGAGGCAGAGAGCCGTGGCTGGGCCACGCAGGTGGGTAGAATGTAGCTAGAGTGAGGACGTGGCACCCAGGACTGCGCTATCACGAGGCGAGGGGCAGGGCAGGAGCTGCCGGGCACAGGGTCTGCAGAGGGACGGGCTGCCCAGGCAGGGAAGGAGGGGTTGGCCTCCAGGGCATGAAGTGTCCTTGTCAGGTGCTCGGCCTGCGCGGTGGCCGCGGGTGAGGGTTGGGTGCATCACAGAGCTGCGGGAGGCCCAAGCCGGCCCCGGGCATGGAGGGCAGAGCCGAGGGGAAGCGGCCCACAGCCTGTGTCACCCTTTGGCTCTTTGTGTCGTCCTCCTGTGAGGTGCTCTGGGCCGTCTTCAGATCTGTCATGCTTGCCCACACCCTACTTCTTATTTTCCAGCTATGCTTCAAATGGGTCCGTCTACTTCGATACGGTGAAGTTTGCTTCCAGTGAGAGACACTCCTATGGGAAGCTGGTGCCCGAGGCTGTTGGAGACCAGAAAGCCCTGCAGGAAGGGGAAGGTAAACAGCTGGGTGCAGGTGGTGGGTGTTCCAGCTGAGGCAACGCAGCCTCGTTCCCTCAGGATTTTAGGAGTTTTCCAGGGAAGCAAAAAAGCCGGTATATCCAAGACCATCTTGAAAAGCATGACAGACCTCAGGGCCGGGGCTATAGGGCTGGCGTTCATGGTGGCGAGAGCACCTGAGGGTCAGGGTGGTACATTGGCCAGTGTGTTGGGCGCCCAGCACTGGTGTGTTTGGAATATGCAGGTTGTGACCCACTGAACGAGGGTGTAGAAGTCACCCACACAGGGTTGGCAGGCAGTCCCCTTGGCGTCTGAGCTCCTGCTTTGGGAACTGAAAACCCCAGAGCTGTTTAGATTGAAGGCAGTTTCAATACTCCTGTGCAGAGGAAGTGGGGCCCAGGTTCAGAGTAGGCACCATGAGACGGGGGCAGAGCAGAGCCAGAGAGCCGGGCAGCAGGCACCTGTTTGTTATGAGGCAGCTGGGGCTCACCTTTGCATGGTTATTTTGAAAGGTGCCCCGGGACAAGCCAGGCAGGAACCCTAGGGTCAGGTCCTGCGTGAGCGTCCCAGCTCTGGGTGTGAGCAGGGGTGTCACACCATCGGTGCCTGGGCAGCACCTCAGTACAGCGGTTCTCTCGTCCCACCAAGACGTGTGCATCACAGCAGCCCTTGTGCTCATCTTGATTTGGGTATAGCTGACGCTCACAGGTATGAGCTGCACGGGGGCACACACCTGCAGATTGTTCTGGATAAGGGCAGGGCAGTACTGCACACATCCCCTTCTGTTTTTTTCCATAACCTCTTCTCTGGCTTACATTTGGTTAGAACACTGTGTGTGACACATGTTCATGTACCATTCATGCTGTTGCTGGGGCTCTATCCAGCAGTGGGCTCTTCATGGTTTTGGTTTTGGGGAATTATTTGCAGATTTTCAAGTGCATGCTGGGATCAGCACCCCCAGCCCCCTGCCCAGCGTTGTTCAGGGTCATCTGTATTAAATGTGGACATGTGGCTTTCTCTGGACCAGGCTAAAGTAGGAGTGTCTTTCATGGTGTATTTTCCACCCTTAACACTTCCAGGGACTCGGGCAGACCACACAAGCATCATTCCCGTGGTACAGGGATTGCTGGGGCCCGTGCTGTTTTCCCTCCAGTTTTCTGGAAGGTAGTTTGGCCATAAAAGTGTTCATACTTTTGGATCAAGTAATTTCACCTTTAGGACTCTGTCACAAAGAGACATCAGAACCTAACACGAAACGATGAGTGGTGTGGACTAAGGGTAGATAGACTAAATTCAGTAGCATCATCACCAGACCCCAGGGCATTGAAGGCTAAAGGCATTTTTTTTTTAAATTTTTAAATTTATTCATTCATGAGAGACACAGAGAGAGAGAGAAGCAGAGACATAGGCAGAGGGAGAAGCAGGCTTCCTGCGGGGAGCCTGACATGGGACTCGACCCCGGGTCTCCAGGATCATGCCCTGGGCTGAAGGCCGTGCTAAACCGCTGAGCCACCCGGGCTGCCCAAGCTAAAGGCATTTTGTCAGCATAGAGGAGGCATCTCCTTGGAGGGCAGTCGGGGGCTTGTGTGGACAGCAGCGTGGCCCCTGCAGCCCGGCATCCTTGGAGACAGACACAGCGAGGGAGGGAGGCGCCAGGCTCGGATCACAAGCTGATGGCTCAGCCAGGCATGCAATGCCTGGGGTGCATGAGGAGTGGGGCTTTGTGTAGCAGGTTGCCTTCTAGCACTAATCAGGGCAGGGCCCCTCGCCTGTACTCATGCCAGACCCACATGGCCGCAGAGTTCTCTGTGGCTCCCTTGGAGTCGCCTGTCTCACAGACTGTGTCATCTGTGCATGACACCATGGGGTGGGTCCCGGGACTAAAGGGCCACGGACAGTGTACAGACATGTTTACAGTCACAGTCCTGAGTGACCATAGCAGAAGAAACCCCGGGGGACGCCACTCAGCTGCAGGAATGCCTCCCACGGCACAACCTGCTGGGTAGGGCAGCCTGTGGTTCTGAATGCAGTTGTTAAAGAACAAAGATGGAAGGTGGGTGGGGTGAGTTGCCAGAAAGGTCAGGGAGGAGCAGTGGAGAGAGCAAGAGAAAACAATTGAGAGAGTGGAGCGGAAATCATAAAAAGTAAGCAGTTGCTTCCTCACAAAGGTGAATGAAATGAGAAAACATGTCGCAATACTGATGAATGAACACAGAAGATTCACAGATATATCCAGACAAAACCAATGTGACTAGAGACGGCAGAGTCTTAAAGGCCAGGGAGCGCACAGACTGGCAGGGTGCAGGAGGCCGCCTCCACGGTCTGGGGGATGGAGAGCCCTGGGGATGGGAGGGCACACGCAGCTGTACAGCAGACCTTGCCATCTGGCCCCAGCTGGGTTCCTCTTGTTCCTTTTTTTTTTTTTTTTTTTTTAGTTTAAGTAATCTCTACACCCAACGTGGGGCTTGCTTTAACTCACAACCCTGAGGTCGAGAGTCTCCCTTTTCTGATGAAGCCAGCCGGATGCCTCCGGAGTTCCTAAATATGGCTTGTTCTTGGACCTTTTTTTTCCACACGGACTTTAGACTCCCTTTGTATTCCAGGGACAAGAGCAGGAGAATCCAGCAGCAAATACAGAGGCACGTGCCCTCCTTTGGGAACAGTCCTGCTTCCAGGGCGATGGGACAACCTCTGGGGTGCAGGACAGTAGTGGAGAGGGGGGCCTGGAGCCGCCTTGGGGTCGCAGGGGTTGCCTCTGGGGAGGGAGACAAGAAGGGACAGCAGGGGAGTAGAAGGGATGGTGTGACAACTCCTTACAAAATCTAGAGCAAATAGCGAGTATTACCAAAGTGACATTTTTGAAGCGCGGGAGATGGCGTGTGTGTAAGGGGATCCTATTAGCTCTGTCACAGAATTTTTCATAAATTTTAAAAATCATGTACATTCACAAGTAACTATGTTTGTAATAATGGAAATTAAAAGCCTAAATACACATCATCTGCCAAACACAGGGTCACTGAAAGAATGTGCTGGCACTGGGTCAGACTCTGAGCCACTGGTGTGGCTGTGACCTGCTCAGGAGCAAAGGTGGGGTTTGCCCTGCTGCTTGGGTAGATTCCTTCCTTTGTCTTTTCGGGTTTTTTTGTTTTTGTTTTTGTTCTTGTTTTTTTTTTAAGATTTATATATTCATGAGAGACACAGAGAGGCAGAGACATAGGCAGAGGGAGAAGCAGACTCCTAGTGGGGAGCCTGATGCAGGACTTGATCCCAGGACCCGGGGATCACAACCTGAGCCAAAGGCAGACACTCAACCACTGAGCCACCCAGGTGCCCCTAGTTCCCTTACTTTGTGATCCTGGCATTTGCTTCCTGATTCTCTCTCATATTTTCCGAGTTTCCTACTCAGTGCGCCCGTGTTGTAGCCTCAGGTCTGTTGTGGAAACACCATCAGCGTGGTGCTCTCCCTGCAGCTGTTGTCAGGCTGTTGTCAGGCTGTTGGGGCGACTTCAAGGTTCTCGAAAGGTGCTGGTAATGGAGGTCGGGCTGCAGTTTGCGACCTGGGACACTAGGCGGGGCTGTCACTCCTGTTCCGGAGCTGCCCGCCAGGGGGCCACAGCACCCAGGGAAGGGCGCATTGCTGCCATGCACCGGGGCACCGGGGCGCCTTTGCAGGCCCTGGCGCTGTCCTCACTCACCTGGTCACTGTCTGAAGGGGACCCTCACGGCCGCTAATGCGTCCCGCAGGTCCAAAGACGTCTCCTACCATGATCATGCATTCCTTTCCCATTGCTCCTGCCGGATGCAAGCTGGCTCGTCCCCAGGGATCTGGCCCTGACTGACCATTTCTGGGAACCGAACTGACCCAGAGGGAGCAGGGCTGTCCTGGTTTGCCACCTCCGGGCCCAAGGGGCCATGCATGGCAGGTTCAGCTGGTGCTTAGAGCTCAGGAAACCAAGGCAGGGAGCCGTGCAGGCCGTCAGTACTAGACCCCACCGTGAGAGCGGGCTCCATACCACGGCCTCACCCCGCAGAGCCGAGTACCCTGACTTGTCCTAGACGGGGGATGAGGCTGAGGGTGCGGGTGGGGAGAGGGGCGTCTGGAGAACTGGTGGGTGTGGTTGAGGCCCCTGGGGAATCACCCTGTGACTCCTGAGCTTACATACTGGGCAGCACGGACGTGGTCATAGTGAGCGGCGTGCTAACCGAAGAAGTAAGCGGAAATGAGAGGCACTGGCCAGTAGCCACCAGAGCGGCCTTGTAGTGACACTGCCGTGCCCACCACGCAGCACTGGGTGACCTGCTTCCCTCGTGTCCACAGGTGACCTGAGCATCTCTGCAGACCGCCTGAGTGAGAAGCGGTCTCCTAACGACTTCGCCCTGTGGAAAGCCTCCAAGCCAGGCGAGCCGTCCTGGCCGTGCCCGTGGGGAAAGGTGTGCTCCTGGGAAGGCACAGGGCTGCCGCGGCACCATCCACCCTGTCCTAGGGACCCAGATGCCACAGAGCCTCGCGGGCCTCTGGGCTTGTGACTTCCTTTCCGGGACTCTGCCCACGTGCTGCTGGGGTGGGGGCGGATTGGACTACCTCCGAGGCCCCTGTATCCCGGTGGCCTTTGACTCTGAGTGTTACCCGCTCCTGGAGGTGAGTCTGCCCTCTGGTGTTCCCTGTGTCAGCAGTCCTGGTGGCCCAGAGCCACGGGATGGGGCTGCTGGTATGTGCTTCTGGTCAAATGCTGGGCAATTCTGGGAGTAACGTGAGCCTCAGCCCCACCTCGGCCTACAAAGCTTGCTGGGAACTAGGCAGCAAGGGCTTCCCTGAGTTTTTCATGTGTGGAACATAACATCTGTTCTAATGAGGCTCAGAGGTTTTAAGGGTTATGAGCACGGGAAAATTGAAGGCTGGGACCCAGGGGGGAGGCCAGTCGGTCACTGGGTCCTTTGAATCTCTAGGGGCGTCCAGGGTGGCACATTGAATGCTCTGCCATGGCGGGCACTCTCCTGGGAGCCTCGATGGACATTCATGGCGGAGGCTTTGACCTCCGGTTTCCCCACCATGACAACGAGCTGGCTCAGTCGGAGGTAGGCAGGGGCTGGGGTCACTGGTTCAACTGGGTGGGTGGGCTTGAGTTTACCCCTGCAGTGGTGGAAACAGCCAGGGGTGCTGCTGGTGAGGTGCTGAGCAGAGCCTCATGCAAACACCAGGGTCCTGCTGGTGGGATTCAAACCCCAACCGTTTGGTCCAATTTCCCACATGAACAGCCTGAGCTTTGGCTCCCAGACCAGAGCCTCTTGGCTCCTGGACCAGGGCCGGCCCTCTGAGCCCCAGGTGTCCCAGCTCGGAGAGGCAGCCCCCGCTTCTGCATCACCGCGGGAACACGGTGCCCCATGGTGCCCCGACCGTGCCCTCTGCACCCCTCCCTGAGCAGGCCTACTTCGAGAATGATTGCTGGGTCCGCTACTTCCTCCACACGGGCCACCTGACCATCGCTGGCTGCAAGATGTCCAAGTCACTCAAAAACTTCATCACCATCAAAGACGCCTTGAAGAAGCACTCAGGTAAAGCTGCCCCGCCCCCCCCGCCCCCCCGCCCCGAGACCTGGACATCCATTTCTGCAGAGGCTGGGAGGCTGAGGGTACCACCCTGTTATCTCCCCTCCCAGCGCGGCAGCTGCGGCTGGCCTTCCTCATGCACTCCTGGAAGGACACCCTGGATTACTCGAGCAACACTATGGAGTCCGCACTGCAGTACGAGAAGTTCATGAACGTGAGTGCCCTCTCCTCCTCTCTGCGGCAGGGTCAGGCCTGCTCTGTGTCCACTGACACAGAGAAGCAGCTCCACTCTCGGGGTGTGCCCTGGCCCTGCACCTCTCCCCGGAAAGGCCTGCTGACTGGCTAGCATTAGCAGCGCACCTGTCAGCAGAGGCAGGACCTCAGGCTAAACCCAGAATGGAATGCATTCCTGCCTCAAAGGAACACCCTCCAACCTTTGGCCTCTGGCATTGGTGTCAGTGCGCGCTGCTTTCTCGGATGATACACAGAGGAGGCGCACCTCACCGTGATAGCTCTTTCTCTGATGCTGTTCAAATGAAGTTTTCTAAATGCCGCTAAACTGAATTTTCTGACTTCAGGAGTTTTTCTTAAATGTGAAAGACCTCCTCCGAGCTCCCGTTGATATTAGTGGTCGGTTTGAAAAGTGGGAAGATGAAGAAACGGAACTGAACAAGAGGTAGGAGACTGCTCTGGGGTTCGCAAGTGTGCCTGCGTTATGGGCCACCCATGGCCCGCCCAGCAGTGGAGTGGGGGGCATAGCACCATCACGCCCGTGTGTGCAAAACCATACCCAGTACATGTAGCACCCAGTGGGCCATGATCCGGCCGCTGGACCGCTCGGGCACGTGTGCACCATGTCACCCGCCGACCTTCCTGTTCCTCTCACTCAGCTTTTACGACAAGAAGGCAGCGGTTCATGAAGCCCTCTGTGACAACGTGGACACACGCACTGTCTTGGAGGAAATGAGGGCTTTGGTCAGCCAGTGCAACCTATACATGGCGACCAGGAAGGCTGCCAGGAGGAGGCCCAACCGGGCTTTGCTGGAAAGCATCGCTCTATACCTCACCCGCATGCTAAAGGTAGGCGGTCCTCGACCCACAGGCCCCATGTGCACACAGCAAGAATGGGTTACAGGGGCTGAGACCTGCTCCCATCCTCAGCTCACACTGTGCTCCAGTGTATCAGAACGCATATGCATGTCCTCACTGTGGGCACTTTTGCCTTCCCGCCTGGTACAACACTACTCACTGTGCATACCTCTGTGCTCATGAGGCCTGGGCCCATGGTTTGGTGACCTCACTCAGAGAGCCCCGGAGAGGGCAGATGGGGGCACACTTGGGCCTGGCATCCGGTCATCGTAGGCCACTTGTCAGGACCCCTTGACACACTCATCCTGCATGTCTGTTTCTCTTCTAGATCTTTGGGGCCATTGAAGAGGAAAGCTCCCTGGGATTCCCAGTGCGAGGACCTGGAACCAGCCCAGATGTGAGTAGAGCACACCTGGGTGCAGAGATGCTCCCTCTTTGGGGGTCGCCCCCACCCCTAAGAAGTGGTGCCCATTTGGAGGAGCACCATCCTGCCTTCTACACCTGCTCCCTCCCCTTCCTTGTTCATGTCCTGGGCCAACGCTGTGGACATTTGGGGACCCACATTAGGTTCCATCTGCACTGGACTTTCCAGAATGGGCCCCGGGTCATGTCTGGACCTGGCTGGGGGAATTGAACATAGCTGTTCACCACACGTGTGCAAGGTCAGCAGAGGCCATGGCAGCCTCGCTCCCTGACCATTCACTGGGGGTGCTTGTGCTGCTGTCTGAGAGCTCAATTCCAGGATGGCAGGCTCGATGGGACCATCTTTGATTAAGCTGCAGCCACATGGCATAGATGCCCATGTGCTCATGTCCTTGTACATGGGGATTCAGATAGCATGCTGATTCATGAGTCTGGTGGGGAGAAAGTTCCTGGGCAGTGGCCGGTGTCGCCCTGGTACTGGTAGTTTCTGCTGCACGATGGCTGTCCTTCATGGCATATGCTTGTTCAGGCTCGTCTCAGACACACTTCTATCCTCCCTCTGTAGGAGTGATCTTTAAGGATTTGAAGAGAATATGTAGTAGATATTTAGGTAGAACTCATTTAAAGGAAAATAGGAAGCACATACAAGGTAAAAAGGCAAACTCTTTTTACAATTCTTTTCCAGACAGTGGCTGGTGTGAGGAACCCTCTTCTGCAGGGGGAACGTATAGGTGTCTCCCCAAGAACTGATTTCTGCAGAGAAACCAGTTTGTGTTGTGAAGAAACACTGCCTCAGCTTGGTGCCCACCTCTCCAGGGGCTTGATTAGCCATAAAGCTAGTTGTTCTAAAGGCATTAACCTTCTTCAGTGTTTCTCAGAAAGGAAACCTACGCAGCTGTGGTATTTTCTTGAACAAGGGATGCTAGATACTTAGTTTCTTAGAAAAAGAAAAAGAAAAAGAAAAAAACCACTTTCTACATTAAAGACCGCCTGCTCTTGAACTTAAAATAATGCTTTTAGTGCGGTGGTTGTGTGGGGGCCTTTCCATGTGACCTCTGTGGGCCCTTTGAAGGCTGAGCATTGGAATAAGCAACCACCAGGCGGGACCTGCCAGGCCAAAGGGTGGGATCTGCGCTTTACACCATTTGAAGTTTATGTGTCAGCTTCTAAATCTGAATTGTTTTAGGAATGGGGAAGATGGCCCTACATATTTATCAGGCTACTGTTGAGTGGTGCATAGCACATGCTGGTGTGGTCCACTAGACCGTGGGGGCAGGTCTCCTCCAGACAGATGCTGCAGGCACGCTGGCTAAGGCCTCCATCCCCCACTGCGCTGAGGCCCACCACAGGAGTCTCTGAGCACGGTGGACATAAGGAACTAAAATCCCGATCCCCGGTCAGCCTACACGACTTCAGCACCCCAGCCCAGGTGCGTGCTTGGACAGCGAGAGGCCAGGTCACTGTGGGCTCATCAGCCTAGTCGGCTTCTGCATTTAGATTGTTGCTTTGGTTACTGAGCCACCAAAAGACTTAATTAGGAGGCAGGGGGAGACCTTGCTTAAAAACCTACTGGAAAGATAGGAAAGATGTCAAGGAAAAGATGGTTATGAAATCATTGTTTCTCCAGTTTGGATTCTACTGTCTCTGGTTTTCCTTCTGGCAGGCTTTCCATCCCGGGGCATCTCCAGGTTCCTGTAGGTCATTAACCATTGGTGTAGATGCGAGTCCATGTATGTGCGCACACGCATGTGTGTGTGTGGTAGACACTTCCTGGAGACTCCTTCCTCTTGCACAAGCATGCGTGTGGCCACAGATTGGACGCAGACACGGTCTGGCTCCTGGCCCAGGAGGGACCAGTGTAGTCTCCCAGAAGAGAACCCGCCCTACAGACACCCACGTGGAGCCATTTAACTATAGATGGGGTATTTTAACCCTGTATCTGAGAGGAGACAAAGCCGCTCCTGAGAATAGTTGAGCAGAGTGGCTTGCAGAACTTGTCTGGCTGGGCTGGGACAGAAGCTCTTCTCTCGCTGGCCCGCATTGTCCACACAGGGACCCGCACACTTGCTGTGGACCGAGTGCCAGGTGGAGAGTGTGTCCCAGCCCAGAGGCAGTGGCCATGGCAGTGGCGCCCCCCCCCATCCTACCCGCCCCCCCCCCCACTGTTGCCAAGCCCTGGCTGAAAATGCAGGCGGAGCTGGTCTCTGAGCGAAACCGTTTTTTGTTTTTTTTTGTTTTTTTTTTTGTTTTTTTTTTGAAACCATTTTTTCTGCAGCTGGAATCCACGGTCATGCCGTACCTGCAGGTGCTCTCCGAGTTCAGAGAAGGTGTGCGAAAGATCGCCCGAGAGCAAAAAGGTGAGGCTCTTCCTCGCTGGGGGGGCCGCCCTGGGCGCCAACAGATGTTAGCAGCGCCAGGCCTGGGGCAGTACATCTGCAATGCCGCCCCCTCAAGTCGTGACAGCACTGTGTCTCTCAACACCACGTCCCCCACAGGGAGGACAGCTGGGTGGGGGCCAAGGACGCATATGTGAGACGCAGGGTTTCTTCGACTGTGCTACTTGAATGGAAAGGCAGATCTTGCTGCCTGCCCTCCCTCCTGCTGGGGGCTCATGTCCACTTTGGGTGTGTCCGGCAGCCAGAGGGCTTGCCAGCACCTATCCTTGCTTCTGGAGGCTAGCATGGGGAGCTGGGGGAGACAGAACTGCTGCAACTATTGCTGCACCAGTGTGGCGGGAGACAGCTGCCTGGCACCCAAGGGGCCTCCCCTGGGGCCACCTCACCGTGCCCAGCCAGCTGGCATTGCCGATATTCCCGAGGTTGGTTGCCGTCTTGTGTCCTTGGGGACTTGGAGCATGCTGTGTCACTGCCGACCGTGAGACAGAGCTCCAGGCGCCATCAGGCAGGGGCGCACATCTTACCCTGCGCCGTCTGTGTGCCGATGGGCATGCTGAACCGAGAACGTGCCAGGCCTGCTCTGCAGCCCTCTTCCCATGCACGCTGCCCCCTTTGCGGCTCAGCATTTCTCAAAGCAGAAAGCAAAGGGCAGGGATTCAAGCCTTGCCAGGGAGAGTTGTGCAGGAGTCACTTGCTGCAAATGCTACCTGTCACCTGCTGTGCTGCGCTCCCTCCCCAGGCCTCTCTGTGACAGGAAAGCACCCCTGGCGCGCTCGTCTGGCTACCATCCCTGCAGAGTGGGTCCAGGTGGGGTGTCCTGAGAATGGAGCAGGCAGAGGACTGATGGGGCAGCCAGGGAGCCTCCAGAGGGAGCTGCGCCGGTTGCAGGGAGGACAGAGCAAGAGGGCAGGGAGCCCCAAGGCCACGGCCCCTCGGGGAGGAGCCTGGATCTGACAGTGCTGTTTCTTGCTGTTCCCGGGGAGCAGGATGGACAGAACGAGAGGCTCAGGGGAGGCTCTGGGGTCCTGCCTTCAGCCGAGTTTCCCAGATGCCCAGTGCTTACCTCACAGATGAAGAAGATGCGGTCCAGGATGTCCACAGTCATGTTGGCCAGAGCTCAGCCCTGGTGTGGGCTGGGGCGGCTGACCAGGAGAGGCTGGGGAAATTGGGAAGAAGCTAGAAGGGCAGGGACTCAGGTGTGCCCAGAACGTCGTTCCCCCTTCATTTGTTTCATTTTTGTTAAGATGTTTGTAACATGAAATGTATTGTTTTGATTATGAGCAAGAGCATAGCTCGGTCTGAAGCGCATTCCTGTTGTGCAGCTCTCCCCACTGTTCGTCTCCATCCAGGACTGTGCATCGTCCCAAGTGAGGCTCTGTCCCCCAGGAGACACTGACCTCCAGGAAACACTGATCCCTGTCCCTCCTCCCCTGTGACCACCATCCACTCTCTGTCCCCAGGGGACACTGACCCCGTCCCTCCCCTGGCCCTGTGACCACTGTCCACTCTCCATATGAATTTGATCTCCATAGACCTCATATACATAGAATCGTGCAGTGTTTGTCCTCTTGTCATTGGCTTCTTTCACTCGGTATGACTAACGTCTATCCATGTTGTGGCAGGTGTTAGAATGTCCTTCCTCTGTAAGGACTGGGTGATATTCCACTGTGTGTGCAGGTTGCATTTTGCTCATTCTCTTGTCTATGGGCAGATTCCTGTGGCCTTGGGCATCCTCTGCTGAGCCTCCTTTTGGGGAGCTGATGGGGCTCCCTGTGCAGTGTCCAGCCTGTTCTCCACTCCTGTGTCTGGCCCTGCCAGCAGTCGCCCTGGAGGACTCACTCCCTCCCTTTGCGCCACCCCTCTGAGTGCTCGAGCTCCAGGGACTCTGAGTCAGGCGAGGACAAGCACTGGCCAGGCAGGTGCAGCCTCTGAAGGAAAAGCTGATGGGGTGTCTCCACTGCGTGTTCACACAAAATGTTGCTGAGCTTATGCTCGTTAGCAGATGACCACAATGGAGACCCTCTTTTCCTAGAACCTGCTACAGTCAGATCCTCTTGGAGTCAATAGGTCCACGAGGTCCTGGTGCCTGGCACCTGTGGCCAGGGGCGCCCCCAGGGACCACACGCAGGGAAGCCCATCTTCCTCTTCTGGGCATGTGGTGGCTGCACAGCTGCTTCCTTCCCTGGGAGAGCCGTGCCAGCAGTGGTGGCTGGGCCAGTGGTGGTCTCACCCTTGGCAGCAGTTCCCCTGCATTACCCTGCTGCTCAGGGTGGCCTCTGCTGTACAGGTCACAGCCCCACCTCTGCCAGCGCCTCTTCCCCGAGTGACACCCCTGCTCCATCCGGGGTTCTCCTCAGTCCTAGGCTCTGCAGCCAGAGCTGCAAACCTGGATCTTCCCTGGGTAGACACACCCCAGAGCCTGCCAGTACCCCCATCGGCATTGCAGGCAGCGAAGGGGTCTCCTCCCCATCCCCGGCCATGGTGGTGTCCACGCTCTCGGTCTCCTGCTTCTCCCCACCACCCCAGAGGCAGCCCCCGTCTCTGTTCCTCTCTTAAGGTTGTATTAGCTACTGAGATCTGTGTTTTTCCATATGCTTGAGAATGCTTTATGGAATTCCTCAAAAATATCCAACTGGAGTTTTTTCTTTTTTTCAAAAAAAGAGCCCGTTGAGGTGAGATTGACATAACTGACAACTACCTGTTGTTAAAGTGAATGAGGCAGTTGGCATTTAGTACGTTTACGGTGCTGTGCAACCACAGGTCACAGGAACAGCCATAACCCCTGGCCCCGCACCCAGCAGCCTGCCTTCTGCACCCGTAGATCAACCTGGTCCAGACACCCCATGTCCATGCAGCCGAGGAGTATGTGCCCCTCGTCTCTGGCTTCTGTCACTTTACAGAATGCTTTCCTGCAGCGCAGCCGGCACTCCACTCCTTGGCAGGGCAGAATACCAGTCCCTTGCATGCACACAACACATTTTGGGTGCCCGTTCGGCTGTTTCCACCTTGTGGCTGTCAGGAATAGTGCTGCTCTGAACACAGGTGCACAAGTGTCTGGTTGAGCCTCATTTTCAGGGTCTGGGGATGTCCCTTGGAGGGGAATCTTGAGGGTTGTATGGCAGCTGTATGTGTGACTTTGAAGAACCACTGAACTGTGTTCTACAGCAGCGGCCCCGTTTCCCCTGCCTGCCAGCTGTGCCGGAGAGCTCCAATCTCTCCACGCGCTCACCAATACTTGCTGTCTTCTGGATGAACAAAAATGATTATTTTCATTCCAGCCACCCTTGGGGTTGGCAGTGGCATCTCACCAGGGCTTTGGTGTGTGTTTCCCTCATGACACGTGATGTTGAGCCCCTTACCCTGGGCTTCATGGTCACGTGTGCATCTGTTCTGGAGAGGTGTCTCTTCAGGCCCTGTGCCCATATCTCATAGGGTCGTTTGTCTTGTCATGGGATTGTGGGAGTTCCTTCCTCTGCAACTGGACCCGGTCATTATGTGACTCAGAAGATGGTAGAGTAGTAGGTGTGCCCCCAAAGTAATCAAACGGTTTGGAAAGACAGTCTGGGGGGGAATTCTGAGTTATGTGGACAAGGTAGGTCTCAGCATGGTGGTGATGGCCACTGTCCTCAGCTTTGCGGAACCCAGACCCAGGGGACAGTGTGGGCCTGGGCGTCCTTCCACCTCTCAGGGTGCCAACAGTCGGCTGACGGTGGTGATGCTGGGCCCTGGCTTGCTTCCTTTCCACTTCTAGGTAGCTTGCTCCAGCTCCTGCCCCAGGTGTAGCCCTCCCCAGGGCCAGCCATCCCCATGGGGCTGTGGGCAGGGTAAGGGCAGGGAGCAAGCATAAAGGGTGTTATCCCATCAGCCATGCTGGGAAGGCTGGGAGAGCTGGGGAGGACAGTGAGTGTTCCCGTGGGCCATGGCCAGTGCTGCAGAGATGGATGAGGTGCAGCAGAGGCTTGGGCAGGAGGCTTGGGGGGTGTTTGGTTTCTGGCATAGATGTTCCTCACAGGGGCATGGCCAAGGTGTGCAGAGCCACTTGGGATTGGGCCTGGAGTGCAGGCTGGTGCCTGAGGGAGGGCTAAGGATGCTGGTCATAGTGTGTCCACCGTACGATAAGGCAGGCAGGGTGCCAGCACTCTTGTCACCTGATGTTACAGGATTTGTTGCTATTAAAGCTTTCCGAGATGGATTGCTGTCACGTGCCCTGTGACAGCCCAGCTTCTACACCAATTTCCCCAAGTGCATGTAGGGCATGGGCTGGGGACTTAGCAGGCCACACGGTGGGGCAGGCAGCCTTCTGGGAGCTGTGAGTCTGAGACCTGGCTTTGATAGACAGCCACATACAGAATGCCTCGTCCCGGTGCCGCCAGACCCTGTGAGCAGAGCCGCGCACAGCCTGCTCCCACACGTGGCATCTTATCACGCTCGTCGCTACCCTCAGAGATGGTGACATGTCCCCATTCCACAGACATGAACCACTGAGTTTCCTTCACTGAGGCCAGATTCCCCTGTAGAGTTTCTGGGTGAGGCCCTCCTGTGCTCTTCGTTTTCAGAGGCAAACAGACTGCCTCCCCCTGCCATGTTGTCCCTGAGCCTCCTGGGAACAGGATGGCCATGAGGTTGGCTGGGGCACACTCTGTGATTGCTGTTGCAGGATCAGTACAGGCTCCCTGAGAGCCCCTGGCCTTGACCGGCCTCAACTAGGTGCTACTGGATCTGCCGCCATCTGTGGTGCCTGGGAGGGAGCAAGTCCATGGTCATTCGCTCTGCCTCTGGGACCCACAGACTGACCCAGAGGTTTAAGAACGTCTGAACCTGCAGGGACCATCCTGTTCAGGCCCAGAGGCCACACTGATGGTTTCTTCATCCCTACCCACTCTGTCTGCTGGTGTGTGTCATCTTTCTTGCTTGCTGTAGCCCACGCCTGGGGTGGGCCGAGGCCTGGCTGAGAGCAGTGAGAGGCAGCGTTACCAAAGGGCAGTGTGGACCCCTGTCCCCAGGCCTCTGGCCCTTCCTTGTCCCTCAGCTGGGCCTTGTGCATCAGTGAGAGAAGCTGACAGCTGTGGGGCTCACCCCAGCCTCCAGACCCATTTCTGGCTCTCACCAATAGCTGCTTGGAACCATGGGTCCTGGGCCTAGCTGCTTCGCCCTGAGGATGTTGGGAGGATGGGAGGTGCGTGTGGACTCAGGAGCACGGTTCACAAGGCGAGGGGATGAGGGAGCGTGGAGCATCCGAGCAGGTTTCCTGACAGCTGGTGCTGTGCCGCTGATGTATTTGACCTAGCTGAGCGTTGCCCTAGGCCAGGCATGCCTGAGGATGGCCTGAAGAACGCAGGGAGCCTCTGTAGGACTTCTGGGTGACCTAAGAGCATGTGTGGCCTTGGGCCCCTGGGTCCTGGAGTGTGGAACGCGGCTGCTCTTCTGGCTCACCAGGCCAGGGCTGTGGGGGCTGGACACCTTCCCAGTTGACCAGGGCGCTTGGGATGGTTTCTGAGCCTCTTTCCTATGAGTAGAAACCTGGTTTCCCTGGACAAGCTGCCCACCTGGTTTTGTGCGGCCCTGGCTTCTCCTGCTCTGACTCTCAGGAGCAGTCCAGGAGCATCTCCAGACCACACCTGCCACTGAGCAGGGTCCTCAGGCGCTGTATAAACCCTGGCCATCTGTGGGGGCTGCTCCATACTCATGGCAGCAGAGTCGTCAGTGCCTGGGCTTCAACTCCCTGCAGGGCGCTGGGGAAGGTGCACATTTGTGCATCTGGTCAGACTGAACTTCTGTCTTTGTCCACAGTCCCTGAGGTTCTGCAGCTCAGTGATGCTCTGCGGGATGACATCTTGCCCGAGCTTGGGGTGCGGCTTGAAGATCACGAAGGTGGGTCCTTCTAATCCCTTCTGGGGCCATTGTAAGGAGCTTCGGGTGTGGTGGGCAGGGATGTGGGAAGGATGCTGGGGTCGGAGGCTGGTTTTGAAAGAATCCCAGGCCAGGGTCAGAGGATGATGGGCTTTTATGTGATGAGGAGGCCCAGGGCGGCGCCCCCGTGACCCCGTGGGAGGGGGGGCCCTTGGAGGTTTGTTGCTCTGGCTGTTGAGGACACCTCCTGTGTACCCTCCTATGGCCACTGGCTTCCCTTCCCTGTGATCTGTCACTCAGAAGATGGCCTGCAGGACTGTCAGCCAGGCTCATGGTGTCTGGACTTTGTGGGGGTTTCAGCTGCACAGGAAATTTTTAGATTTTAAATACTCAGGCGGCATGTCCCCTTTGATGACTTCTGGGCCTTGTGTTGGGAGTGGTGAGGCCTCCCCACCAGTACAGTTAACATGGAAGCCCCATGAGCAGCAGGGGCCCAAGGTCTGTGCAGGCAGGCTTGGGGCTGGGCCTCATCTCACCAACCACCTGGCTTTTCAGGGCTGCCAACCGTGGTGAAGCTGGGAGACAGAGAGGCCCTGCTGAGGGAGAGAGAGGAGAAGAGACGAGTGAGTGTGCTGGAGCAGCCGCGCGGGCACGGGAGACTGCTGGCGCTGTGTGCTTGCCCTGCCAGAGCTCTCTCGTGAGGTCCCAACTCTAGAATTGTCACCAGGGGACCTCATGGGACTTGGGCCACTGGGCGGAGCAGTAGCAGAAGAAGGGTCTACCTTCTAAGGAAGGGTCCTCTTTTTAAAAAGCTACCCCCCGAGTTTAAGGGAGAACAAGTCCCTTTCTGTAAACCGTGCAGCTGACGAGTTTGGTCGCACCTTGCTCTTCAGAAGTGCTGTGTCCTTTGTCCCTGAGGGAGGACCTGCCAGGCAGCCCTTCGTCCACCCAGGAAGTGTGGGGCTGGTGCCAGGGGCCTGGGTGCATGAGGAGCACCGGCAGGAGGTGCGGGTGACGTGGGAGCACGGTTTGTAAGGCGAGTGCAAGGCATGTTCTGGACAGCTGGTGGTGACAGCTGGGCATTCCTGGGAGCCGGGGACCCCCTACTGCACCTCCCATTTCTGCCCCACTTGCTCACCCAGCTTAGTGTCCTGTCCCTGGGGCTGGGCTCTCACCTAGGGCAGCGCAGCAGGTGACCCGGCTCTAGAGGTGACATGGGGCTGGCTCTGCCCACCCCTGCCCCTGGGTTGGGGAAGAAGCAAATGCCTCAGCTTACCACTCTCCTCCCCGTGGTGCAAGTGCATGCGGAGCATAAAGGCACACGGGGCTCTGATGAGGGTGCCAAAAGGCAGCCCTGCCCACACGGGCCTTGCCTGCTGGTTTTCGCAGCGGCCGCTGGCCATGGCCCTCTTTGCCTTGCTCCTGTCTCCCCTGAGTGGGGCCCATCCAGTCAGCAGTGCCTGAATGAGCACCAGGACTGCAGCCTCCCTGCATGGCCATTCCCACCAGGGGACAGACACTGTGTCCTCACAGAGAAAGTCCCGCCCAGCCCATGCCACCCTCACCTCTGCCTGTTCCCGGCCTCCTCTGCTCTACTGGTTGCTTCTCCCGAGCCTGTGGCCCCTGCTTGTGGGGACCCTTGCTCTACTTCCCACTGCTGGCCCTGCGCTGCCCTCACCCAGTCCCAAAGTTCCCTGCCCGGTACCCCAGGTTCTCTCCAGCCTCACACTTGCCTGTGCCCAGCCGCCCACCCGACAGCCTTGCTGACTAGGAAGCCCCGAAACCCGAGATGCCTACAAGGGCATTTTCCTGTCTGTGGCACAGCTGAGTCCGCACTTCCCCTCACGGGTGCCACCCAACACCCGGGCTGAGGGTCCCTGCCCTGCTCCCACTCCCAGGCTGGTGGTTGGCCCAGGCCCCATGTCCTGGCACCTGCTAACTCCCGCCCCCTCCAGGCCCTGGTGATGCTGTCTCTGCTCACCAGACAGACCCCCCACAGCTGGGCTCGCCACGTATCCAGAGCTGTCCACAGGGTGGCTGGGTCAGAGTCCAGGCACCGGGGGGCCAGCAGGCCTTGCTTTGTTCCTTTTCCTGCCCCCAGAGGCCCTGAGCAGATCTGGCTCACGGGGCTCCTGCTGCTCCCGTAGGTTGAAGAGGAGAAGAGGAAGAAGAAGGAGGAGGCCGCCAGGATAAAACAGGAGCAAGAGGTAACACACGCAGTGTACGTGGGGCCCGGGTTCCCCTGGTGGGAGTGCCTACTCTGACCCTGTGCCCCAGCTCTCTGGTCCTCCCTGCTCCACCTGCGCCCACCACAGCATCCTCCCGGCCTCCCCACGCACCCCCACATGGCACCTGAGCAAAGGGAGGCCGGGAGGCCCTGGTGAGGGAGAGGTCTGGCTGGGAGAGCTGCCCCTTGGCAGCCACAGGCTCCAGGCCGTGTCACAGACTCCTTCGGACAACCCTCCCCCCTGTAGAGCAAGCTCGACGCCCGGGGTGGACTTGTCCCTCCTTCAACTCCCTCTGCCTGGGCCTTACCCTGCCCGACTTCTGTGTCCCTCTGAGTCCCAGGGCTGGGCTGGGGTGACGCGTGTTCACGCCTTCCCCGGTGGGCTGGGCTGCAGTGAGCAGGGCTCTGCATTCCAGGCAGCGAAGCTGGCCAAGATGAAGATCCCACCCAGTGAGATGTTCTTGTCAGAAAGCGACAAATACTCCAAGTTTGATGAAAACGTAAGAACCTCTTTTCTCTTGTCACACCTTTAAATTGGGAGTAATAGGGCTTCCAGCCTTGAGTGAGCAGCCTTTCTGTCTGGGGTGCAGTTTGGGGGAAGCGCCGTTCAGGGTCCGTGCCTGCAGCCCCGAGCACCCAAGGCAGCCTCCCTCCATCGCGGCAGCCGAGCCCCGTCGTGGCCTGGATCAGAGAGCAGGTCCCCTTCACAAGCTGGCCATGGTGTGGTCAGGGAGCCGTGGGCACTGTCTCCAGAGCTCCTCGTCCCGGCATTCACAGCCACTTTGCCTCTAGACCCTCAGGCTCTCCTTACTGGTTCTGATACATATTCACCACCTTCCCATGAAAACTGAGCCCCTTTGGTCCTGAGGGAACACTGGCCCTAGCTCCCAGGCGGGAGGGTGCCTCCAGACCAGCCACTGTCTTCCCAGTGGCTGGGAGAGGTGCTGCTGAATCAGTGCACTAGTGTGGAACGTGCGGTGAGGACGTGCCCAGGCAGCTCCAGGGGCTGAATCCATGTGCCCCTGGGCTCCGAGTGGGGCATCAGGTGCACCCTGATAACCCCGTGCTCTCCCTGTTCTCAGGGTCTGCCCACACACGACGTGGACGGCAAAGAGCTGAGCAAAGGGCAAGCCAAGAAGGTGAAGAAGCTCTATGAAGCTCAGGAGAAGCGCCACAAGGAGTATTTGCAAATGGCTCAAAACGGAAGCCTCAAATGAAAGGGCAGGGGACTGAGTGTCTAAACCAAGCCATTGGTGGCCTGCTGACTTCCTGTCTGCGTCCTTAGTGATGACGCCCGATCATGTTTACAGTGGTCCTCGGCTCCCACGCTGGGGATTGTGTTCACGGAAGCCACGCCGTCATCAGCTTGAGACTTCAGTAATAAATGTTTCCCAACAGTGAGGCCGGGTGTGCTGTGTGCCGGCGCGCTGCACGTTCAGCGCTTGTGCGGAACCCGCTCCCGGCTGCTGGCTCAGCAGGTCCCGACTTAGGCGCTCGGCTCAGTTGAGCTGCTTCAGCCAGCCGAGAAATCTCTCCCCCATGCAGATGGCTATCGGCTAATCTCTGGTGTGTGGGTGCATTTGGAGGTATTTAAGTAGGAAAAAGACAGGCTCAAACTGGTGAGCCCACGGACACCCCACACAAAGGCTGCTCACTGGGCCCCTCTGGTTCTGATGAGTAAACACAGCTCAGCGTCTCCTCCAGCAGCTCCACACTCCAGGGGTGGTAAAGGGCTGGCTCAGCAGGGTGGGCCCTGGCCCCTGCTCCAGGTCTGCACAGCTGCCGGCCCAGATAAGGGGGGGAAGTCCCAGCACACTCAGCAGGGCAGCTGTTTGTCACCAGGACCTCGCATCCAGTGCGCCCCAACACTGGAGAGCCTAACTGGCCTAACGAGGGTGCAGCAGAACCAGCACCCTTGAGCCCTGCAGAAGCAGGGCGCCAGGTTAGACCCTGTTAGACAGGACAGAGGCGCCAGTGCTGGGCTGTCAGGTCAGGAAACGCTGAGTGTCACTGGCAGCCCTTCCGGGGTGCGGGAGAGGGTGGGCAACACCAGGTCGTAGGCATCCTCAGCCCTTGCCCCTGTGACCCCGCTTGTAGGAAACTCCAGGAGATATCCCACTCACTGCAGCATTGCTTCCCAGAACTGATGGAGCAGTTGACTCTCCCCAGGTGCCTGGTGCAACTCAGGAGCACCGAAGGCACGGGGAGCAGGTGGTTATGAACCGAGGTGGGGCGTGGGGAGGGCGTTTTGGTGTTGAGACAGCATGCTTCTCAGACTTCTAAACATTCCACGTACAAGCAGTTAAACCAATAAGAAAACAAGGCCCCAAAACACAGTGAAATGAACTCATTCCGGTTCCCTACTGCTATACGACAGATCATCCCAACACTTGGTGGCTGCAAACAACTATCACTTTACCACCTTCTCCAGTGCCTCTGGGTAAGTGGGGCTCCACCTGGTGGTGTTGGACCAGGGTCTCCCACAGGCAGCCTCAGCTCTGGAGGTGCGTGTCCACGAGAAGAGCCATGTGCCTTTTTGGATGTAACCTCAGAGGTCCCACAGCATGACCACCACCATCCTCTCAAGTTTGCAGGCAGTCCGAGACGCCCACCATGCTCCACGGGAGGGCACAGCAACTTTCAGTGATGCAAGGTTCCAGAGCAGCGCGAGGGACTGGCAACATCGTGGTGGCCTCTGCTAATAAGCAAATACAATATTGATGTCCGCAACCCAGGTTTTGATGCAAGAGAAAAAACTCGAGTGTAAAAGGAAAGAAGGAAAATCACTATATTCCCAAATACAAATTAGAAAAAACAATATGAACTGACATTCGACCTTTTCTTTTTCAAGATTTTATTTGAGAGAGAACACAAGCAGGGGCAGTGGGAGAGGAAGAAGCTGAGCAGGGAGCCCGATGTGGGATTCAATCCCAGGACCCTGGAATCATGACTTGAGCCAAAGGCAGCCACCCACTGAGCTACCCAGGTGCCCCAATAATCTACTTTTAAACAGTCGAGATTTTCTGGCTGTGTAGACAGGGGACAAACTCTGCTGCTGGGAGCCCTCACAGAGCCTGATTCGAGGCTCCTGGAAGAAACGGCCCGCCCCAGGTCCAGGGCAGAAGCACAAGGAGACCCTGAGCCATCTGTCCTCAAAGGGAAGCTTTTGAAGGCTGATGGAGTCATGTCAGAAGAGGGACAAACTAGTGAAACCCAAAAACTGTCTATATCAGAAGGGCATCCTGCTGAGTGGAAATACCATATGGTTGCACTTGGGTGACATTCTGGACACACAGATCTTTTTTTTTTTTTCCAAAGATTTTATTTATTTATATAGAGACACAGAGAGAATGAGAGGCAGAGACACGGGCAGAGGGAGACGCAGGCTCCAGGCAGAAAGCCCGACGTGCGACTCAATCCAGGGTCTCCAGGATCACACCCCGGGCTGCAGGCGGCACCTAACTGCTGTGCCACTGGGGCTGCCCTGGACACACAGATCTATGGGAACAGAGGGCAGAGGAGGGGCTGACCAGATTGGGGGGCGGTGCTCCCCCGGGGCTGTTCTGTGCTCTGGCCAGGCAAGAGGACACCATCAGGGGGCCCCAGGAAGGGTGCACGGGCCTTGTGCCACCTCAGCTTTTCGGGAATCTCTACTGCAAAATAGTAAAACAGCCTCAGGAACTTCCACTGGCCGCATCTGGGACAACTCGAGTATTGAAAACCAGGATTAATTGAAATGTGGCCATTTATACTTATTCTCAGAAGCAAAGAAAGCCAAGAAATAATCCGCTACCCCTGGCGGTGGACTTTGTGTCAGCTTCTTACTCTGCAGACTTAGTTACTTCTCTGGGGCAGGGAGCTGTACCCAGGCGGCTCAGCGGCTCCAGCGGGAGGGGAGGCTGCACTTCATGCACGGTCCCAGCTCACAGAAGTGATGGGACACCAGGAGTAGACCGTCTCCGTCTGCAACCCGAGTGCGGCACCTGATCCAGGCCAGGCCTGCCAGCGGCTGCTGAGGCCCCCAGGGTGACAGTTGGTGGGAACAGCTATTCTCACCATGCCACCGTGTCACCTTGCAGGTGGCTCGTAGGGCACAGGGGCTAGGGGAGATGGGCGTGTCACCTTACAGGTTCAGCCTGTCCCTCCTCCTTCTCTGGCACTGGGTCTCCACATTGCCCAGGGAGGGGACAAGCATGAGAGCCAGATCTGGGCGGGGGTGGGCAGATACCTGTGCACTGGTCCAGCTCCCCCACCCAGGAGGAGCAAGGCTCTCTGTGTCACTTCCTATTCAAGGGCATTACCGCAGTGCGGGGAGGAGTGCCGCCGGGGAGCACCCCCGACTGTTCCAGGAGGAATGCCCAGGCTGCTGGGCTGTCCGGGGGCTCTGGTGCGGGGGGATGGATGGGGCGCAGGAGGCAGACCTGAATGGCAGAAACGAGAAACACCACCACAGGCCACAGGAGCCTTGTTGGGTTTGAACAAACTGGCCCTGAGAACAGCTGGGCAATCGGCATGCGCACTGGGTCTGGTATGATACCAAGGAGCTTCTGTCAGTTGTCGCTGTGATCATGGCAGTTGTGTCCACCAGGATCCCTAAGGGGAGACAGTGGCAGGAGGCTGTGGGTCAGCGGCCAGGATCACTGCTGAATGGTGGCCTCTCTTCCCACACCATCCTCCACTTTTCTGTGTGAAATGTTTCATGCCCATGTGTCCTTTAAAGCCTGCCGCCAGGAAATCATCTCATCTTCCGTGGAGGACGCAAGCCCTGTCTGCTGCTGCAGGAACAGGTGCACCTTGGGAGGCTGGCCTCCGTCCCCGCTGCTCCGAGTGCCGGGTTTGGGGGTGGGGCGCCTAGGGGGTGAATTGCGGGCTGGGCTGTGGCCTCTGGTGGAGTCGTGCCCCCCCCCCAATACATCCCCTCAAGGAGACTGGGGAGGAGTGTCCTCGATGCCCCACAAGCTGCCAGAGAACCTTCTGGAACAAAATGGAGTGGAAATGGTTTTCAAATGTATAATATTAATTCACCTGTGAAAAGTCTGTGCATGAAATGTCTTTCCAGCTTTGGGAGCCAGACTTGTCTTCCTGCTTCTCCCAAAGTGAAATATTTGGTGTTTTCATTACAGAACTATCAGAGACTAGCTTAAAAATGAAACCATGCAGAAAATTACTAGTACAGAGACTGAGCATCCCTATAAGGCTGTCCCAGAGGGCCTGTGAGGCTTTGGAGACCGTCTCCTGGATTCCTTCCTTCCGAGGGTCTGAGGCTTATGCATACGCTCCGCACTGGGTGGTCTGTGGACACCATCTAATATCCACACCCTAGGAGGGCCTTTCATTCCCCGTGTCTCCATGTCCCTTTTATTGCAAAGTAGCCTGGAGCCACCACCCTGTGGATGGACGTTGGGGTGCCCCTGAGGCCTGGTGCACCCTCCCTCCTGCCAGCTCCAGGGGTTATTCACCAAGCAGCACCCCTGAGCAACGAGGGGGCAGGTCCCCTCCAGGGCCAGGCTGGCTGTGCTCCAGCCAGGTCTGAAGTTGGGACTGGGGGCAGTTATCCAGCTGGTGTCTCTGTCTCCTCCTCTGGATTTGGGGGCCAGATGTCTACCCGGGACATCTCTGGGCCAAGGCCAATGAGGTCAAGGACTGAGAGGAGCAGAAAGGGCACGGAGCAGGGGGTGTTGGAGGTCAATCCTCTGAGTTCCTCATGTCTGGAGGGCACGGAGGACCTGTGCAAAGGAGCCATTGCCAGGTGTGCATGAGCTCAGAGCTGGGCAGGGGCAAAGTGAGGGCGCTGGGAGATGCTGGGAAACCCATGAGGTGCGGCCTCAGGGCCCCTTCCCTAGACGTTCTGGTCCCAGCCCTTCTCAATCTTGGTTGCACTTAGCATCACTTGAGGACTTTGAAATGAACTGATGCCCACCCCACTGCCTCAGTTCTAAGTTCACTGGAGGGCAGTAGGGAGCTTTGGAAGTATGCTGGGTGGAAGAGTGGTGTGGTCAGAGGTTGCCAGGGTGCAGGTAGACAGTGTGGAGGGTGGGGGTGGGAAGCCACCTTAGGGACCCCTGGGCAGGAGAACTGGCTGTGACCTCAAAGCAAGGGCATGAGGGGGGCCTTAGCTGGTGAAGAGTAGGGACTGTCCTGGCTAAGAAGGAACCCAGCCCAGAGCAGATCCATTTGCTGGTGCTTCTGCTGCATGGGAGATAATCAGAAAGGACTGTGTCCACTCGGTAACTAGGAGGCATCCGCACAAGGCTCTGGGGTCAGCAAAGCTTGAGTGTCTGTCTGTCTGAGGGCCTGGGATGGCGGCAAGGAGACTGTTCAGAATGAAAATGTCTTGAGGGAGGAGATGGGGGCCTGGCCCTCCCTTCTGGGCATGGGTGTGACATGGAACCCACCTTCATGTGGGGCTCTTGGGAAGCCTCTTGGTGGATCCTCAAAGCTTATGGTCCAGGCAGGGTGGTACCTTCAGACACAGAGTCGCAAGTGCTGGGAGCCGGTGTGTAAAGCCGATGTGGTGAGAGAGGGAGCCCACTGTTCCACGGCAGGCGGTGGGACTGGGTGTCCCACCCCAGGTCCCTGGGGACTGGAAGGGGAGGGCAGAGCCCTGCATGGAGCTGGGCAGTGGCAGGACTCCGTCCCTCAGCCCTGACATGGAGTGGAGGCTCCAGAAACTCCAGGCCAGGAGCAGCTGCCCCCCCTTGGAAGCAGAGGGAGACTACCCCACAGGGACCACTTCCTGACAGGTAGACAGTGGGCACAGGGAATGCTGGTTCCAGAACAGACATTGTACTGAGTTGAATAGTATCCCCCCGCCCCCGCCATTCATGTCTAGCCAGAACTCCACAACCCACCATATTTGGAAGTAGGGTCTTTGCAGGTGTGCTTAGGTCACGATGGGTTTGCATAGGAGTGGGCCGGAAGCACCACCCGGCTGATGTCTATAAGGAGAGACACAGACACAAGAGGCCATGCAGGACAGGCAGAGACAGGAGGGACCTGGCCACCAGCCCAGAGACACCCAGAGCCCCCAGGACCTGGAAGTGGCAGGAGGGATCCACACCCTAGAGCCTCTGGAGGGAGCACAGCCCTGCCCGCACCTGGGTTTCAGACTTCTACTGTCCAGAGCTGGGAGAAAGAACTTTCCTGTGATTAAGACACCAGTTCAGGGTACTTTGTAGTGGCTGCCCCGCAAACCACAGGAGACATTCATTCTCGTACCTTAGTTCTCTTTAACAGAAAAATACATTTGCTGTGACTTAACACGTCATCTTAGTAAATCCATTTATGGCTGTAACAGGGGACAAAATATAGTCATGGTGCCCATGCCTGGCCTGCTGTCTCCACGCAGTGTCTGGACCACCACTGGGCCCAGGAGCTAGGTCTCTGGCCCCTCAGGGGGTGGCTGCTCCCAGTCACTGAACACCACGGCCTGCAGGGCCCAGATGTCATCTGGAGCAGGATTCAGGCTAAGCCACTCACAGGACAGTCTCCTTAGGAGAGCCTCAGGTAGCCTCAGGTACCTTGTCCCCTCCTCTGGCCCCCGGGGGGGGGGGCATCAGAACAGTGGACACCAGCACCAAGCTACTGGCCAGTGACATGGAGTGGAGTCCCCACCAGCCCCGTGAAGGGGGTATGACAAGTGCCCATGGCTGAAGGTGCAGGAACTGCAGCACAGGCTGTCGAGGCCACCCAGCTAGAATTGGGAAGGTCGGGGCTCTGGGCCAGGAACCTGCCCTTTTACTTCTGGGTCCCCTGCCCAGCCTGCTGGCCAGGATGACTGAGTGTGCACAGGGGCGGGTGCCAGCCCCCAAGAGACTCAGCCCCAGCCCCCCCGTACCTGCGCAGCTGCCATGGAGTTAACATGAGGCCCCTGCAGCCGCCCTAACCTGGTGGCATGGACAGGCCCTGTGCAGATGGAGACGAGTCTGGGGGCGAGCGGGAGGGGCTGCAGCTGGAAGGGGCGAGGAAGGGCCGTCGCCAGGGGCGGGGCGGGGCGGGGCGGGGCGGGGCGGGGGGGGGCAGCCCCGAGACCAGGCGGCGGCCGCCTCGCAGCCCGCCTCGCAGCCCGCCTCGCAGCCCGCCGACCACAAGGACGTGGTTTCTGCGGCGCTCTCAGCACCTGGGCCCGCGGTGCTTGGCCGTGGGGGCCACAGGAAAATAAAGCCGCATCATCAATGCGCCAGCAGCGGGAGGGCTGGCGGGTCCCCCTCGCCGCCCGCCTTCCCAGCGGCCGCCCAGCCGCGCGGGGAGGCGGCCCGGCCAGGGGCCACAGTCTCGAGGACGCCCGACTGCGCAGAGGTGCGGCCCGGGGGCAGGACCGCAGACACCGGCCCGGCCCGCTCCGCTCTCCACCCGCACCGTCGTCCTGCCGCGGAGCCCAGCGCTCTCGGACAGACGGTGACGGGGCTGCGGGGGCGCGCGCGCGGGGAGGCGGGCGGCGGGCGGCGAGCGGCGGGCGCGGAGGCCAGGCGGCCCGGGGGGCAGCGGCGTGGGCGGTGCGGCCGCCGGGGGTCTGCGGGGCGGGCGCGCAGCTGGAGCCGCTCGGCGGGCTCGGCGGGCTCGGGGCGGCGCGGCAGGTGCCCTCCACGTGTCCTCCGCGCGCCCCGGCCCCTTAAGGAGGCGGAAGGAACGCGGGCGCGCGCCGCCGTACACGTCACACACCTTATTTACATACAGCTCGCGGGTCTGAGCGCGACGCAGCGCGACGCAGCGCGACGCAGCGCGACGCCCCACCCCTCCTGTCGCGGCCTCTGATGGGCCGTCGCCGGCGGCGCCGAAGCGTAGTTGACTTGCGCCGAGTCCGCCCAATCGCAGGCCGTCTTGCTTGTGCAGGGCGGGGCCAGGGGGCTCGGCCAATGGGAGGCGGCGTTGTTGGCGGCCACGGCGGCGCAGCCCCTGGAGCGAGCGAGGCCACCGCCGCCGCCACTGCCGCAGCCGCAGGAGGCGTGAGGAGCGGACGCGAGGCGCTCGGCCGGGTAATGGCGCGCTGGGGCTGCCGGCGAGGGGCCGCGGCCGCCGAGGGCCGGGGCGGCGGGGGCGGGCCCGGGGCGGCGGGGGGAGCAGGCCGCGGCGGCAGGGGCGGGGCGGCGGGGCGGCGGGCCCGGGGCGGCGGGGGGAGCGGGCGCCGCGGCTGACCCCCGCCCCGCTGCGGCGCTGAAGGTCAGGAGGCGCTTTGTTCCCGGGCGGCCGCCCGCGCCCCCGCCGCGGCCCCGACGGGAGCGCCGGCCGCGGGGCCCCTTTGTTTTCGGGGCGCGGGGAAGCCGCCCTCCGGGGCCGGGAGGGCACGGCACGGCCCGTGCGCGGCCTGGCGCTTTGCCGGGCCGCGGAGCCGCCGTCCGCCGGGGCCGCCTCTGCGGAGCGCGCGGGGCGGGGGGACCCCGGGCGCTGACCCGGCTCCGGGAGCGCGGAGCGGAGCGGCGCGGGGACGCGGCTCGCCGTGCGCACGTGCTCGCTGCTCCCGCCCGGCCCGGCGCCTGGGGGCCGCGGGGCGGGGACGCGGTCGTGGGAGCCCGGCTCGGGCCCCTGCGGCTCGGGCTCCGGGGCGGTCCCCGCCGGCTCGGACGCGGGGGCCCTTAGCCTGGGCCGGCCGGGCGCCCCCGGTGTGCGCGAGGGGACCCGGGCCGCGGGGAGGCCGCCGAGGAGAAGGAACCCTGGCGCCTGGAGGGTTTCCGTTTGTTGCTTTTTCCCTTGTTTCTGGATAAGGAATCTTTTTTTTTTTTTTTTTTCATCTTTTGAGGTAAAGGATCCTAGTGCGGGGTTTCAGACGTCCCGTGGAGGAGAAGACCCTTCTGGTCAATAGAAATACGGTTGGCGAAATTTCATTTCTTGTAGGATTACGGTGACAGAAGGGACTTGTTTGGTCAAGTAGGTAGGTCACTCAGAGTCGTCCTAACAGTGATCTTAAGACTTGTGGTATGATGAGAATGACCGTTCTCGAATTCCTTAGTTGTCGTGTAAACCGGTAGTTACCACAGCATCCTGCTGTGTGAGGTCCCTGCTCTGACACACACACTTGTAGCCGTTTTCCTGCTTTGCCGGCGAGGCGATCGGGGTTGACGATACCTGCGGTCATTTGTACTTCTGTGTCGTAAACAGGACATTAAACGCATTCGTGAATTTCGCATTATTTTTCAAAACAAGTATAGCGATTGGAGAGATTGGATTCTTTGCAAGAGCTGATGGAGTCGTTTTTGTTTTGATGATGCTGGTGAACTGAACTCCGAAAAGTTTACTTTTGCTTTGGGATTGTTGTCCTCCGTGTACAGGCGTTTTTAGAATTTCGAGGATTGGCCGTTTAGAGGACCAGAGTCTCCTGTGGTGTTTTTGAGTGTAGGGATTTTTACCTGTGTGAGGTAGCTCATAGTTCTGCAGAGATGAAGTCCCTGGAGTCGGTGTGTGTGTCATTACAGTGTGTGGATTTGTACTTGAGTCTCTCAGGACGGTGTTTCTAGCCTGTCGGGGTCTCAGCGGCCCCTGGTGCTGGGAGCAGCTTCCTGCATCTGCAGTTCCCACCAGCCTCAGTGGGATGGAAGTCTTCTTCAGCATTTTTCTTCTCTTGAGCAGTTGATAGTCTTTTAGTTTCAGCAAGAGGGGACTACAGAGGTGAACGTATAAATGGTACAATAGAGTTCAGAATACTTATTTTTAGGTTTTGTTTTTTTTTTTTTAATTTTCATTGTCCACAGTTGTAAAACGTTTTGAAACTGTTTTCATAAACTTATGTTGTATTGCCAAGAATTTTGCCAGAGAACTTACATTTGTTTGGTTTGTTTTGCAACAGTAATATATAGTGTCTGTGGGTGGGAGGGTGATGCACATTCCTGAAGACCTCCCCCGTCAGCTCTGTGAAATGGGCAGAACCCTGCAGTGCTGGGAGTAGTGCTGGGAGTGATGGCCCCGCGTGTGAATGATGAGGCAGCAGTGAGGAGCTTATGGGGAGTTCGGTCTGGAATTGCTACCTAAGACATGCTTACTTGAACTGGGAAATGTGTTCAGGCATCCACAGCGAAAGGTTGGTGATTACATAGCTTCGCCAGTCCTCCACTGAGAGGTTTTACAAGGGGCGAGAGCAGGTTCCTCAAAGGAAGTCACTGTCATCCGGTCTTGGCTTACTTTGCGTGATCACTACTGGTTTAGCTAGTAGTTGCCTTCCCAGACAGCAGGAGGGGATTTGTCGTTACTCCTTCCGAGACCCTTATCAATGGGCAGTGAAGAATTTTAAAGATTTTACTTATTTATTCATGAGAGACACACAGAGAGAGAGAGGCAGAGACACAGGCAGAGTGAGAAGCAGACTCTGTGCAGGGAGCCCAATGCAGGACTGGATCACGGGTCTCCAGGATAACACCCTGGGCTGAAGGTGGCGCTAAACTGCTGAGCCACCCGGGCTGCCCAGAAATTTTTTAACAAGTGGCTTTGTGGTGACGTAGATATGTTTTCATTTGACAGCCTTTGGTTTTCTACCCTGCGCGCTTTAGAGAAGGCAGAGCTGGTTTCTTTGACATTTTAATTTTAAATTTCACGAGTACTTAATAGCAGGAGAGGTGTAGTGTGTTTCTGTAGTGAGAAAACTATAAGAGAGCACTTTGTGGTCTCTGCTACCTATCTTGACCACTCACTGTGTAGCCTTAAATTTCCTTCTACAAGTATACTCTGCCAGCTATTAAAACTAGATGTTATTCCATTCTGGGCTCATGACTTTTTTTTTAGGTAGTGTGCATTTTAATATTATCCAGAAAGCCTGTTTCAAACAAGACGAGATGATTTCTAGTAAATAGTTTTGTGGTACAAAGAATCAGCGTACACCTCAGACATTTATCTACCAAGGCTATAAGAATACATTTGTAAATATTACACTTTAAAACATTATGTGGGGGCACCTGGGTGGCTCAGTGAGTTGGGCATCTGCCTCCGGCTCAGGTCATAATCCCAGGACTCTGGGGTCGAGCCCCATGTCAGGCTTCTTGCTCTTTCTCTCTGCCTGCCACTCCCCCTGCTTGTGCATGTGTGCGCATGCGCACTCTCTTTCTCTCTGCCAAATGAATAAAAATTTTATTTTTTTATTTTTTTTAATAAAAATTTTAAAATAAAAATTGCATGTGTAGTAAAATAGTTTTTATTTATTTATTTTTTAAAGATTTTATTTATTAATGAGAGACAAAGAGAGAGAGAGGCAGAGACACAGGCAGAGGGAGAAGCAGGCTCCATGCAGGGAGCCTGATGTCGGACTCGATCCCGGGTCTCCAGGATCAGGCCCTGGGCTGAAGGCAGGTGCTAAACCACTGAGCCACCCGGGCTGCCCAGGAAATAGCTTTTAATGCTTTGTATTCATTCCTTCGTGGGCCTCTCTATTGGCTAGACAGAGTTCTAAGTACTGGAATATTGCACTGAACAAAACATATTTCTGTAGTGGGAGACAGATAAACAAGTTAGATGGTGATGGGTGCTTTTGAGAAGAAAAGTAGAGAAGGAGTAGGGACTTGGGTGGTGGTGAACTTTTAAAAGATTTCATTTATAGATAGATAGATTAGATAGATAGATAGCAGAGTCTGGGAGGGCCAGAAGGAGAGGGAGACAATCTTAAGCAGATTTCATGCTGAGTGTGGATCCCAATGTAGGGCTCAATCTCACGATCCTGAGATCATAACCTGAGGTGAAATCAAGAGTCGGACACTTAACTAACTGAGCCACCCAGGCACCTCCGTTGTGATATTTAAACAGGGTGAAGCGGGAAGACCCTACAGAGTGAGAAGACCTTTAAATACTGGAGTAAGGAAAATTTTGAAATATTAGCCTTGTTTAGTCATATACTAACGAATTGCAGAGAAAGGAGAGTGGAAGAGGAAATTGGAGTTAAAGCAATGAAGAGCCACTTTGCCTCAAGTAAAAATAGAATGTTTGGTGAACGAAAGGAAATAAGTTTTTTATTTTCTTCCGGAAAACCAAGGGCTTAGTCTCTAGCAAGTTTCTGAAGAGATGGTCTGCTCTTGTCTAGTGGCAGTTAGATCTCGTAAGCAGCCCTAACTTCCTCTGTGTCTTAAGAAACTCCATGGGAGAGACTAAGGTACGTGTGGAGTTGTGCGCAGGCAGCACCTGGGTGGGCTGTTACTTCACAGCAGTGAGTGAGTAAAGCAAAGACTGCTTGGCTGCTGTGTCCTGCCAAGTCCTGTGCTAGGTCTAGGTCTAGGGATTGCTGCATTGAGCAAGTAGGTAAGTCCCTTCCCTCATGGAACTTGTTCTTCACTGCAAAGACAAACTTACATTGTTTATCCCTCTTTTTTTTTTAACATGATAATAAAAAGTTTAAAACCTATGGAAAAGTAACGCTCCCCTGTATCTGACACCTACCTGCAATAATTAACTATTTGCTGATCTTCGTTCATCTGTAAACATATACATGATTTTTTTTTTTGTTGTTTCTTTGTTTGCTTTTAATTTTTTAAAAGATTTATTTATTTGAGAGAGAGCATGTGAGGGAGGAAGGGGCAGAGGGAGAGAATCTTCAAGCAACCTTCCCAACTGAGCACAGAGCCTGATGTGGCATTCCATCTCACTGCCCATGAGATCGTGACATGAGTTGAAACCAAGAGTTGGAATACTCAACCAACCACTGAGCCAGCCAGGCACCCCTACATATGATTTTTTAATTAAAAATTTTTATAAATGCCCAAAGGAAAAGGAAAATCATGTATACTAGATTTTCTATCATTATATGTGATCAAAATCATTTGAACCCAACTTCAAGACTATCTTTAGAAGTTCAAGACCCGGGCACTTTTTTTGTTAAGAGTACAAACATAGTTAACATGGACATTTTCCATTAAATTAGAAACTTACGTAAGTTATTTGGGTTGTTTACTTTAGACATGTTTTCACTTGCCTGCTTGCATATTGAATCCAACACAATTACCTTCTAATGCTAAGGAACATAATGATAGGCTAGATAAAAAAAAAAAAAAATCAACCAGTCAGGTCAGGGCACTATAAATGAGATCTGGACTGTCCCAGGGCTTCATATATTGACCATGCCTTGTGGGTGGAAACATTGGGATTTCTTGCAGGGGGTATCCTGATCCCTCTTAGAGTGGATGGTTCCTTTGTCCTTTCTGATGTGGTTTTAAGCTGAAACGTGATTTGGTACTCCTGGAGGACTTGGACCTGAACCCCAGGGCTGATCAGACTTCACCTTAGGTTCATAGGGTAGGGTCACCATCCCTTAGACTTATGTGAACCACATGATTGTTATAGGGTTCATTTAACACCATCCTCATTTAATAAAAATTATAGACTAATGAGATTCTAAAGTCTTAGACATTGGTTACATTTAACTTAATTTTGGTTATTCAGTCATTTCATGGGAAGACGTTGAGAACTTTTGACTTAAGATAGATAATGTATAAAAATTTTGATTATGTGAAGGATGACGATATTCTCCAGCTTACTCTTTTGTCTTTTAGAAGTGGCCCAGTTTGGGCAGCTGGGGTGGCTCAGCGGTTTAGCACCACCTTCAGTCCAGGGCATGATCCTGGAGACCTGGGATTGAATCCCACATCAGGCTCCCTGCATGGAGCCTGCTTCTCCCTCTCCCTGTGTCTCTGCCTCTCTCTCTCTCTGTCAACTCATGAATGAATGAATGAATGAATGAATGAATGAATAAATAAAAATCTTAAAAAAAAAGTGGCCCAGTTTGAAATTATATTACTCTAGCTATAGGCTAAGTGTTGTGGTGGATTTTTTTGTTTGTTTGTTTTTACTGTTTTTAAGTATGCTCCATGCCCTTCGTGGAGCCCAACCCGGGATTTGAACTCATGAACTTGAGATGACCCGAGCTGATTTCAAGAGTTGGATGCTTAAACAACTGAGCCACCCAAGTGTGCCTATGGATTAATAAGTGTTTTAAAATTGGGAATTTTGGGGATGCCTGGTGGCTCAGTGGTTGAGCGTCTGCCTTTGGCTTGGGGCGTGATCCCAGAGTCCCGGGATCAAGTCCCCATCGGGCTCCCTGCATGGAGCCTGCTTCTCCCTCTGCCTGGGTCTCTGCCTCTCTCTATGTGTCTCTCATGAACAAATAAATAAAATCTTTAAAGAATAAATAAAAAATAAAATTGGGAATTTTGTTATAGTGGAAAATTAAAAACTGAAAATTTTTTCCCATGAAATTTTTTTGTTTGGGCGAGAAATTCATAAATAGGATTGTGAGGTATCTTCTATAAATAAAAGCAAAACATTCATTCATGTAATCATGGAATTTTGCATATCAGCCCAAATGTAGAATTGTAGACCCAGTTAAAATTGTTAGTCCTACAAGGGACCTGAATTGCTGTATTCTTTTTATATTTTTGGATATTCTTTTGCCTGATGACGTGTTCATATTTTGATATACTTACCTTTTTAGGTAAAGGAGACCTTCAGATGAGGCTTCAGCACACCAAAATTTAAAACAAATGGGTAGTTGTATTTCTCAAACCTACAAATTTAGTAGTTCCTTGTAACTTTCTCTTTGAACTAGTTGGATTGCTAAACATGAAAAGTGACAAATGGAATTCTAGCTCATTCATAATGTCACCAACTCTAGGTTATTTTTCCTTATATAAAGGGAGAACTGTTGAGAGGAACTGGATTTGCTGGTCCCTGCCAAGCAGCAGGGCAATGTGTAAGCGTGTTGCAGTCCCAGAAGCCGGAGGAGGAGGCCTGCAGCAGGTCGTGTGCTGGCCACCTCGCCTGTGTCATTCTGACTTCACAGCAGCCCCTCGGGAGGCCCCATCTAGTTTGTGGGTGTCGGAGCCCTGGTTACACAGCTAGGAGACGGCAGGGTTGGCCTCAGAACCAGGTCACTGTGTGTCTTCTGTGTTTAGATGCGGAGTCCTGTGTTTGAATTGTTTAGACCTTAAACATAGTCTCTTTCCTGTTGTGTAAGCTTATTGTATTTTCTTTCTCCTTCTGTCCTTGATTGAGCACTTTGTTTTGTTTTTGCAAGTGTTATGTTGGGTTTAACCTAACTGCTTTGTCATCATGTCACCAAAAATAGTGTTAAATAGTGCATGGCTTCACATAGTTGGAAATAAAGTGGATTGTTGTGTGAACGGAATCTGTTCCTTTGGAGTGGCGTCCTTCCACGGGAAGGTGAAGCTTTTTGGCCTGTGTCCTGTTGTGGAGTGTGTGTTCACTCAATAGCTCTTTAGCTCTTGTGCTGGACACTGCTGAGGGCCCTGGGACCACATAGTGCACTGCATAGGAGGGGCATGATTATTCTCCATTCTTCTAGACGGCGTACTACTTGGGAATGCTACTGCACTGCAGGATTGTTGATTGTCATCTGTTCCAGGGACAGCAGCAATCATCTCGAGTTAAGCAGGTGGAAGCGGCAGCCGGAAGTGAAGTGATTGGTGGTGGTAGGGAAAGATCAGGAGGGTCTAGATTTGAAATGCGCAATGATTTTAATCTATAATGAACCAAAGGAAACGACGTGGAGAATCTCATGCACATGTTTTTAGGAAAATTAAACCTAAAGACTGAGACTGATTTTCCACAAATCCTTGATTTACAGAAGATCAGAACTTACTCTACAACTAGTGAGCACCTGTCAAGAATCTCTCCTTATCCTAAAGCCAGTGAACTCACTGCATGACATTTTTACTGAATTTTCCCTTTTGTACTCTGCCCACAAAAGCAACCTGCCCTAGACCTTGAGTGGACTCCTTTGTAGCTCACTGCAGTTTCCTTGTCCCAAATTGCAGTTCATCTGCAATTCCTGTGTAAACTCAGTGTCTGGTAACTTGGCCTTGCCTCAGTTTACCTCTTTTCTTCTAGGTTTACGTTACATGGTGTCAGGAGTGGGATCTGAAGGAGCCAGCCACTGAGGAGCAAAGTACCCACATTTGAGCCCTTTGTGCTCTTTGCTTCCACGAGTTGACATAACTCTTGGTTTGGTGAGTCTCAGTTATCAAGTCCCTTCTTTTGGTTGAACTCTCAGAACATGTCAATCCTCTTTTTTCTTAATCTGGTAGTGAGATCCCAGTCATCTAAATGTTCTAAGGGTAGCCCTCTTTCAGGAACCCTGGCCAATTTTATATTAAGAAGTAATGGTCCTTCCTCATGCCTATTTCTGCCTACATGGGTCATACTTACTAGAAGGGTAACTTAGTGCTGTGATGGCTGTTGTGGGGGACATTTCATCCTTTGAGGCTTGTCTTTGTCCCAACTAAGTTAGAACATGGCTACAAAATTAAATAGTCCAAGTGGGATAGTTCTTTTCATTGGTATCTGGAGGTTTCTAAACGTGTTCAGGATTCTCAAATTGCCTCCTTACACAATATTGTTTCCAGACTGATTGAAGTGAATAAACAACTAAAGATGGATAAAAATACAGTGTCAGAGGCCTCTTTCTTGGTGCTAGCCAAGGTTCCCTCCTACCTGCATTGGCTCACCTCTTTCCATACCCTTTGCCTCCTTATCCTCCCCTTTGTCTGACGTCCTTCTTTCTGTCACTGAAACCTCTTCAACCATAACCCATTAAAACTATCCCTTTCACAATTCTGTCTTCTGAGGATGCTGCTAAACCACCCTAAAGTGCCAGCACCTCATGGACAAAAGCTGAGCTTAGGGCTATAATTAAGGGCCTTCCCAAAGTAACTATGAGGATCCTCATAGATGGGTGGAGGAATTCAGTATTATAACCTTGACTTAACCAGCCTGGGCTCAGATCTCTGTCAGTTAGTCCATAGACTTGTTGGAGAAGGTCAGGCCCAGTGCTGCATGAAAACAATCTCTAGGGTTTAAGCTAGGCCAGCTACCAGCCATTTATATGACCAAGCTTGCAGCATAGCCAGAAGGCTATGTGAAGTCATCCCTAGGGCTTTCCCCAAGCCCATGGACCAGAATAAGATTCAGGCACGCACCCAAAAGCCTGTTGGGTCTGACTGTGACTGTTAGTGACTTATCCATGACCCTAAGCTGTTTTCAAGGAAAATTCTAGACTTCCCATAGATATTGAGTCCACTCTGGTGGGGTTTGATTCTGTGGTTGTAAATGGGATGAAGCAAGGACATAAAACTTTCAGATTAACCTGTATGGGACTGGCATTGAGCCTCCCATAGGTGGAGACCACAAAGCAGGTATGTCTTACAGGACCATGCCATTATTGCAGACAGTCTACACACTGGAAGAGGGGCCACTATAAATTGAAATCCAAGCACTTGCAACCCCCAAGAGGCAATAGCCAAACCAACCCAGTGATGAGATCCTGAGGGCACTCTTCCCCAGCCTTGTGGGAAGGGAATTATGTAGGATTGGGAGACTACTGTCCAGATTAGGAATGAGTTTTCTCACAATATCAGTTAATACAGGAACTAATCTATCAGTGCTCAAATCCAAATTAAATTTTCCCTTCCTTGGAGTAATACATATGTGCAAATAGTGGGGGTCTTGGATAAACTACAACATGCTCGTTTCTCAGCCCATATTCTTTTATTTGGGATCTCTGCAAGTCAACCAGCCATTTATCCTCAGTGATTTGGCTCCCATGCAATTATCTTGGATGAGATTTCCTGGGGAAATACATTGCATTTTATTTTTCTTTCTGGAAAGGGAAATATTCCTTGAGTTCAAATCCAGTATTCCAGAACATTCAGGCCCCTTTAATTGCAGTCTGTAGACCAAAGAAGACCAAACTTGGGACTCATCCTGACTACTAAACCTAGTACCCCCCACTTTTAGTGCAAAATCCTCAACAGACTGAGGCACAATTCATGGTGCCCCTCCCGTTAATATCCAGATTGACCTCTCAGAACCTCTCCCAAGAATAAATCAGTATCTTGTAAATAGTAAGAGGACTTACCAGGGCATAAGGCCTGTCATAAAGACAATAGGTCATTATCCTTTGTATTAGTCCTTGAAATATCCTTCTTTCACTAAAAATTCCCATGGCCAATGATGGACTTTGGTCCAGCACCTCAAGGCAGTTTATAAATACCGTAATTCCTCCTGTTGTCTCTAGTCCATACACACTGTTGGTATCCAGCCCTACAGGAGGCGTGGTGTTTTGTTTTGTTCTTTAATTAATTATTTATTTATTCATGAGAGACACATAAAGAGACAGAGACACAGGCAAAAGGAGAAGCAGGCTCCATGCAGGGAGCCCGACATGGGACTTGATCCGGGATCTCCAGAATCACGCCCTGGGCCGAAGGCAGTGCTAAACCGCTGAGCCACCCAGGGATCACCATTGTTTTGTTTATTATAGTTACGCAGTGCATTTTTATAGTATTTATTTCTTTTGATAGCAGTATATATAAAAATATAATATCCCTTTTACCTTTACCTGGGAAGGCCAAGAATAGACACAGTCGTGCCTGGAGTATTTACTGAGAGTTCCTACTTCACACAAGTTATAGCAGCTGACTTAAATATCATAGGTCTCTCTAAAGGCTTCATCTTACTACAGATATGTAGATGATTTCCTTCATGGCTAACTTTCCCAAGGCTGCTCGCCTAAAGACCTGTTCACCTGTGAAAAATCGTAGTCATTAAGGGGACACAAGGTCTTGAATGAAAAATTGCAGTTTGTTCAAATTCTGGTCCAAGATTTAGGACAATTTAATCTCAGAATGAGCACTACTCCTAAGTTCTGAAAGACTTCAAGGTACTTTAAACTTTCTATACCCTAAAACCAAATAAGAATTACAGAGTTTTCTTGGGTTGGGTCACAGCTGCATTCCAAACTTCTAAATAGCTAAGCCCCTTTGTGCCATATGAAAGAATACCACACCTGATCTCATTGTTGGGATAACCAATATAACTCCTTTTTTAAGACTTTGAAGGAAATAGGGGGCGCGCCTGAGTGGCTTAGCGGTTGAGCGTCTCCATTTGGCTCAGGTCATGATCCTGGAGTCCTGGGATTGAGTCCCACATCAGGCTTCCTGCAGGTAGCCTGCTTCTTCCTCTGTGTCTCCCATGATTAAACAAAATTTAAAAACTTAAAAAAAATTTTTTTTGAAAGAGTTTATTTATTTACTCATGAGAGAGAGAGAGGCAGAGACACAGGCAGAGGGAGAAGCAGGCTCCATGCAAGAAGCCCGTCGTGGGACTTGATCCCCGGTCTCCAGGTTCACACCCTGGGCTGAAGGCAGCACCAAATCGCTGAGCCACCCGGACTGCCCAAAAGAAATATTTTGAAGGAAAGTATTAAGTCCACCTATCCTTTGACACCCAGATAATCAGCTACCCTTTTTCCTTTTTGTATATGAGAAGGAAGGGGATGCCCTCAGACTACTAACCCCAAAACATGCAGCTATCACACATCCCTTGGCTACTCTGGCCAAGAGTTAGATCCACTACCTGAAGATCCATCCCCCTGCCTTAAAGCTCTGCCTGCCACCACTCATGGGGACCAATGGTAGGCCCAGGTCCTACCACTGAAGAGACTGTCTTTATGCTTCAAGGCTCTGGAGGCTCTCCTGAAGTCACACCATGCCCAGTACCTTTCAGCAAGCTCTTATCTCCTGTGAAGACCTCTTGTTCATGGTAACAGTTTCAGCCCTGCTACCCTTCTTCCCTGATTGAACTCCCCATGACTATCTGACTTTCACAGATCAACTGTCGACCCCTTGTGAGGTCTTATAAGAAACTCCTCTGACACATACTGATCTTCCCTGGTTGACTGATGCCTCTTACCTGAACCGTGGAAGTGATGGGTTTTGTGCTGGCTGTGTGATAACATTTTGGAGTTTGTGGAGGCTTTATTGGATGCTTACCTTTGGTTCAGCTCAAACCAGCTGAAATAGATGCCCTCACTTGAACATGCATTTTAGCCAAAAGCAAGACAGCAAACATTGATGCTGATAGCAGTACACCTTTGGAGTGGCGCATGACTTAGGGATTTTAGAGGAAACAACAGAGCTTCTCACTTCCAGTGGAGGTAAAATTAAGAATGGCTCTCATGCCCCAAATCTGTTGGCCACGATACTGACGCCAGCAGTTCTCACTGTTGCTAGGTGTCGCAAGTCTGAGTCACTGGAAGCCAAAGGAACCCACCTTACTGATGCCCCTGTAAGAAACATTGCCCTTCTTAGATCCATTGACCAGACCTCTGTCATAGCCCAGAAGACTGCTGCCTCACTTCCCCATCCCCTCAGGACCTGAGGGAGTAACCAGGGAAGAGCAACAACTGGCCTCTGAAGGAAAGGCTCTTGGTACCACACAGAAGAGGGGCTCTGGTCTTTTTCTTCCAGAAAATCTAAAGCTTTTCTTCTTCAGACCACTGTCCCTGGATTATACCATTGGTCCCCTGAGAAATAATGTTTATGGATCAGTATTAGGAAACCTCAGCAAGGCCACAAGAAGTGCTATCTTGCTGGTTCTGCATTCTGCCCAGGATGTTTCTTTGCATCACCCTGGGACACGATGGCGTTCAAGGCCTGGTGGGTGAATGTCATACATTTGCTTCATCTCCTGGATATGAATATGTTCTAGTGATAATTTGCATCTTTTCACATTGGACTGAAGCATTTCCATGTAGAAAGGCAGCTGCCTCTTTTGTAGCTAAACTCCTTTTTAGCAAAGACTTTTCCACATGGGGAACACCATGGTGACTAGGGGACCTACTTCACTGGACCACTAAATACTTGGACAAGTCTGTGCCATCTGGCCAGTTCTACATTTCCACTCTGTTTATCCTCAGACTTCAGGACTGGTCCAGTGTACAAATGGAATTATAAACATGCTGTTTGCTAAATTAGTTGAAACCCTCCAGATATCTTGGCTAAAAGTACTGTTGCTGGTTCTTCTAAATCTTCAGTCTACTCCATTCAGTATTCATAAACTTTGAACTTTTGAAATAATCACAGGATAGCCAATTCATTTAGTTCTTGCTTGCTTTGACCCACAACTAAAAAAAACGGGTACATACTTAGTTTTGCAAGGGTCTAATTAAATCCATTGAGAATAATCATGCTGTGATAGAACAATCTTTCCACAGCAAGCTCCCATGAGACAAAAGATGTTAGATATCACATTTTATAGCCAGGAGAGGGCATCTGCTGGAAAAGATGTCTCCATAAAGATTCACTTCAGCTTCATTGAAAGGTGCCTACCAGGTGTTACTGAGGAACCCCTGTGCCACCCGCTTCTCAGAGACAGACTCCTAGATTCATGTGTGCCATCTAAAAAGGCCCCCAAACCTCAGAGGGCCTGCATCTCAACTGGTGGCTTAAAACTAAAAATTTTCAAGGATTGAAATGCATGACGTTGGAAGTAGACAGCCTTCCCAAGGTACTGGGGCCAGGCCTATAGAACCTCCCCCTTCATGGAAGTCTGTGTCTCTCAGGAACTGAGTCATGCTGCCTAAAGTTGTAATTGTTCTTTTGCTAGCCTCCTTGCCACCTCCTGGTTTGCCTGTAACACACTCCTTTGTTCCCACTTTACAAAAACTTTCTGATGCCACCAACCCTATTGATTGTTGGATTTGCACTGGAATTAACACTAAGGATAAACTCAAACTGGTGGCCTGACCATTACCCATGGAAGGATGGGAGAAGCTTTCTAGCAGAGGTTCAGGGTTTTTCTCTCATGCCTTTGAAGCTGTACATATTCTCCCTTCTGGTAAATTGGCACCAGACATTATAGCATTCCATTGGGTGCTCCTTACCCATTGAGGAGAACCCTCAAGTCTGTGCATTTATTTTTTTTTTTAAGATTTTATTTATTTATTCATGAGAGAGAGAGCCTGAGACTAGGCAGAGGGAGAAGCAGGCTTCTCATCGGGACCCTGATAACACCTTGCTGGGACTCAATCCCGGAACCCTGGGATCATGCTCTGAGCCAAAGACAGACGCTCAACTGCTGAGCCACCCAGGTGTCCCTAAAGTCTGTGCATTTACCCAAGACCTTATTCTGTGTTTCACAGACAGTTACAAGATTGGCAGAAGTCAAGGTTATGTCCTGGTAAGCACTTGTGACTGCAGTGGTGCAGGACTCAGATGATCATGAGTACACTCCCACTGGCATCTAAGAGACTACGAGTTCTCCATTAATGTACCTCTGGTAGGGTACTTTGGATGGGAAGCTGGTGTGCTGCTTTTCAGTGGTACCTCTTGGGGAATTGATCAAAAATCCAGTGAATGGTGGGAACTTAATTCAGTGTACCAAAAATCCCCAAAACTGCATTAGAACCTCATCCACAACCATCAGACTCACTTGTTAATCCAAGTATATTGAAATTTAAGACATTCCTATAACCATTTCCATGATGCTAACAGCATTGGGCACTGTGTGCTATATGTAAATGACTGTGTTTTTGACCATGAGGTCCTCTTTTTGATTCCAGGGGGAAAATCTGGGCAAAGGGGTCTTCCTAACATCCTGTCTTTAGAAAACGTTTGTCATTTCTTTCTCTGTGGCAGAAACATAACACTCCACACTTCCCCTGGAAAGGACGTTGTGGAGATGTTGCCCATACGCCTGCCACTGAAAGCAGGAAAACCCTCTGCCTACCACCCTGTATCCAATTTGGGGGTTTTCTCCTACTGTCTTAAAAGAGTACATGGTAAAAAAAAAAAAAAAAAAAAAAAAGAGTACATGGTAACAGGGATGGATGACACTTTGGGTGGGTGCCCAGGAATACCCCCATTGTAGATAGGGATTTGGATATGCCTTTGCCTGGGCCTTGTTCCTTTCTTGGGTTGTGTGGAAGAACTTGTAAAGGCAACTTGGAGTCTGTGGTTGTGGTATGACCTTCGCTGCTCCAGTTAGAGCTTTTAGAATATCAGCGAGCCCAGCTAGACAGTCGCAGAAGTAGTCTTCAAACCTGCAGCCCTGTGCCTTCTCCCTACACAGCAGAGAGGGGAAGAATGCTGTTTATATGCTAACAAATTGGGGTAAATAATGCAAGAATGAAAAATTAGGAAAGGTTATATCAAAGTGTGAACTGAAATAAGCTGGGTCCCCAAGGACTTATTAAATCTGGGCAGCTGGGGAAACTGGTCGAGGAAGTTTTCCAGCCAGTAGCTGTAATTGGACTTTTGGCCCTAGGTGTAATCCTCCCAGACATATGTACAAACTAGAGTTCTTTTTCTTTCTGAGACTTCTCCTGAAGTTCAGCTGGGAGACACATGACTAAAGATTCCCCATTTCTTGACTGTTGGTAGTTCAGTGAGTCTGGATAACCTGGTGCCATTTCTCTTCTGTGAGGGACAGACATCTGAGGATGTCCCCTCAGTTCCGAGGGGGCGCTGTCTGCTCACAGCTACCCACATCTCTGACTGAACAAGGCCCCATGCAGATTGGTTGATCAGCAGAGCCCTCTGTGAAAGATGTGGATCAGAGGGGGAAGTCTGAGAGGATGTAGATCTAAGATGGAACTGAAGGCTACAAAGTGGAGTCTCACACATGCACCCTCAGAACAGCGGACTTGAGGACTGTCAGGCTAATTGCCCATGAAAGCTTGATTGACAGGAGTTGGAAACTGTCTTCCACCAGTGAGTGTCCACCAAGAATCTCTTCCACCTTTGAACCATTGAACTTGCTGTGTAGGTCCTAACTGGATTTTCCCCTCTCATATTCTGCTCATAAAAGCACCCGGGCGTGAACCTTCAGTGGACTCAGCTGTAGCTCCTGAATCACACTTCCTCTACTCTTCCCAAGGAAGCTCTGTTTCCAGTAATGTAGCTTGCCTTGGTCTGTCTCCTTTCTGTTAAGGTTGATAGAAACCTAAGTCCACATCATAGCAGCTGGGTGACCTTGGGTCAGGTGTATCACCTTGCCCAGCCTCCGTGTCCTCTCCTACACACTGTTGCCTCCCTGGCAGAGTTGGTGTTGGGTAGAAGATACTGGAGAGTGCCTGTCACATGGGGCCCTGGCTCGTAGAGGAGGTGGTAGGTTCAGGTGTGTGGCTTGATTGGGTGTTTCAATGATGGGGTAAAAACTGGAGCCCATCCCTTGAACTGGCCATGACAGCTTCTTCTGGAAAGCAGGCTCTTGGCCAGCAGTCAGTGTGTGTGCAACCAGTGCGAGGTAGTATGGGATCTATCTGTTACACAGTACAGGTGAATTAGAGCTGGTGTCGCTGTGTGACTGGGTTGGCAGTAGGTACCAGTTTCTGTCCCTGCTCTGTAACCCAGAAAGCCTGCTGTTGTAATCCTGCTTGTGCTGTGTAAGTAAAGAATTGGGAGCTGGGCAGCCACAAAGATGTTCACATGGACGTCAGCAAAGGTGTGTTGTTGGGAAAGCCATCAGGACTCCACAGCTGGTGACTGGGAGGTATGGACGTCAGCTCGTAGGCTCTTGTCATTGGATGTTATTTTGAAGTCCTCTGTGCCCTGTACTTGTCTGTGGAGTGTGGAGAAGAGAAGGGAAGCTTGGGAATCCTGTGGTTGCACCCGTATGCCTGCAGTAAACCCAAGAGGAACAGGAACCGGGGATACGTGTTGAGGTGGACTGTTGGAAAGGGTAGGGATTCAGGTTTCTGTTTGGAGGGACTTTGGACTTAGCAACAGGTGATAGGAACCACTGATGAGTTTTTAGCTCTCATTGACGTGGGCCTCCAAGGTGGAGGGCGACCACAGCCACTGGAGCATTCCTTAAGCTGTTTCTCTCCTGGGCTTCATGTGCAAAAACAAAATGACCAAAGAAAAGTGCAGTTGAGTTAAATACAAATCCATTGCAGATCCTAAATTCCATTTGGAGCTATTTTCCTTAAATACAGAGGTTTTTGTTGTTTTGTTTCACCCTAAAGTATTGTGATGGAGAAGTTTGAGCTTTGCTCACATACCTGAGAATAAAACATTGACCAGTTGTATTCAATGTTGTCATTGGATATGTCACTGGAAGAGCTTTGGCAGGGGGTGGGGTGGAGGGGGTCTCTGACGTGTGTTCTCTACATCTGAGATGAAGGAGCTTCACCACCTCTGTTCAGCTATGCACTTAAGACACGGTTTTGAAATTTCCCTAATATCCAGTTCTTTGTAAGGCGTAAGTGTCCTAGAACCTAGCTTTAATGTTTATAAGTAGAAAACCACCTAACTCGGAGATAATCCTTTGTTATATATGTCTCGTAAAAGTGGGTTGTACTGGTGTATGTCACACCTTGTTTTTACACAAACACTACCATCTTCCGTGTAGGAGTGATAGATTAAATTAAATAAAGTAAAATTTCAAGTAGCCTCTTGGGGGGCCTTGGGAGCTCAGTTGATTAAGCATCCAACTCTTGGTCTCAGCTCAACTCTTGATCTCAGACCCAACTCTTTGGGTCTTGATCTCAGGGTTGTGAGTTCAAGCCTCATGTTGGGCTGTGTGCTAGGTGTGGAGCCTACTTTAAAAAAATAAAAATTCTCCTGTGACTTAGAATGTGAAAGACCATATAAGCACTAGTAAATACTTTGAATAGTTCCAAAATAATTGACCTAGTAGCATAAATATGTCCATATTGCTGAAGCTTATTAGAGAAGGTAAAGATTAGAACTGATTAATCTTACTCTGAGCTCTATTTTAGCACCAAAAAGATTTTTTTTTTAAATGAGTAAAGTGTTCCTGCACTGAAATGCACAGATCCTAAGTGTAAGATTTGATGAATTTGGTAAGTGTGTATCATATGTAAATATATATATAAATATATAAGATATATAATATATATAAACATATATAATATGTAAATATATATATAAAAAACCGAGAAACCCAATAGTCTGTCCAAGATCTAGAACATTTCCATTACTCTAGAAAGTTCCTTCCTGCTCCTCCTGGTGTAGACCCTCATCCCCCATAGTAGATAGCCGCTGCTACACACACCCTGAAAAGTTCTTTGTGAATATTTAGTGATGTTAATCATTACAACTCTCTTTTAATTCTTAGGAGATCAAAACATTCAGATGGCAGATAACAGGTAAGCCAAAATGGATTTTGTTTATTGGGGTTTAAGTTTGATGAGCATGAGCCAAGCTACCGGTCAGTGAATATCATTAGAAGCTCTGGTTGAATGGTTCCCCCCCGCCCACCAGGGTGTGTTTGAGCCCATGAAGAAACTGCTTCACAACATAGGAAGTGTTTCAAATATTGATACTGGAAAACCTTTTATGGGAAGCAGTCATGTTGCTCTGCAGGCCTTAAACCTCCCAGGTGAAGTCATTTGATTAACTTGACACCATCCTTACATTGTATAGCCTCTAGTGGTCAAGTGAAAAAAAGATTTTGTTTGTGGCTTGTTCTGAAGGTTATGTTAGTCTTGTGTAGTGTTTGACATGGTTTAATTTTGGTGAGAAATTCTTTTTTTTTTTGGTGAGAAATTCTATCCAGACATCTTTGAAAACCGATATAGCTGTTTTTGTGGAGTTTAATTGTTTGTAGAGACTTTGGTGAGCTTACAGAGCCACAGTGGACATTGTGTCCTAAAAACTTGGTAAGGTGGCTCTTCTTTGATCCCTTTAGCAGCTGACCAAACTATAGCATGCATGTAACTTGGCTAGTGGGTTTGGTCTGAGGGTGGGGAGCAGATTTTGGGGGAAAGAAACTATAGAAATGAAAACTAAGAAGCTTTGGTCAGGGTTGGAGATGAGAACTATGGGGTGTGGAGGGGGATGGGGGATGAGGGGTTGTTAAATAGGTTTGTTTGTTTTTTTTTTAATGTAGATACACCTGTGCATCTATAGCTCTGTCCAAATATGAAGGCGTTGTAGAGGTTTTTAAATATGTTAATGTCCTTGTGGTTTTTGTTTTTGGAACTTCTTGATAGTAATAACTTATAAAATGTACTTCTTTAGTTTTTCAGATGGTGTTCCTTCAGATGCCTTGGAGGCTGCTAAAAATGCAAGTAACACAGGTCAGTTCACTGCCCGTGGGGAAGGTAACAGTTGAAGAGTTTGTGTGCAGAGCAGAGTGTGTTCCATTCTTGAAACATTTATTGCAATAATATAAGTGAAGGGTTACTGTGCTTCAAAGGTTTAGGGAAGTTAGAGTTGGTCAAGTGGGAAATGGTACTTCGTTTAAAAACTCCTATGCTAGGAGCTTCAGGCTTTCCAGAAGTAGGGTGACTAGCATGTCCCCTGGTCCCTGCTGCCACCTGTTACTGGAGCTGGTCAGCCAGTGACCAGTCTTTTACATCTGTGTTCTTTCTTCTTCCCTAAACATTTAGAAGCAAATGCCAGGCTTCATATCATTTTGTCCATGAATTCATAGATGTATTCTTTTATCCTCCATTTTAAAATGTATATATCCATACTTTTTTTCCCCCTTAAACTGTTTGAAAGCAAGTTGTGGGTATCCTGACCCTTTTCTCCTAAAACAGTTTTGTGTAAATTTCCTAAAAACTAGGATGAATGCTCCCAAACACAATGCTGTGACCACAACCAAGAAATGCGGGGGTTGGGCAGCCCTGGTGGCTCAGCAGTTTAGTGCCGCCTTTGGCCTGGGGCCTGATCCCGGAGATCTGGGATCGAGTCTTGGGATTGAGTCTCACGTCAGGCTCCCTGCATGGAGCCTGCTTCTCCCTCTGCCTGTGTCTCTGCCTCTCTCTCTCTCCTCTCTGTGTATTCTCATGAATAAATAAATAAAACCTTAAAAAAGAAAAGAAAAGAAAAGAAAAGAAAAGAAAAGAAAAGAAAGGCAGGGGTTGACAGGACGCTGTTAGCCAATATGTAGTCATGTTGCTTTTCCCCTGCTTTTCTCGGTTGTTCCTTTTTAACCATTGCCCACACTCAGGCCCAGGGCCAGCCAAAGGTCACATCCCGAATTTAGTTCTGTCTCCTTTATTCTAGAACTCCCACATTTTTATCCTACCCTGCAGTGACACATCCGCAGGCTGTGTGCCCCGCTGTCTTATGTATTGCCCAGGCTTTGGATTCATTAGGTTGTTTCCTCCTCATTAGGTTCAGACTGCCACATGGGTGACCTGATGCAGGGGAAGCGCAAGGGCCGGGGATACTGAGATAGAGGACTTGGTGGAGGCACGTGTCTGGCAGCCTTCCCCGTAGTGAGGGTCCCTTTAGTAAGTGGCCTGCTGGTCATCCTGTGACTACCCTGTCCTCCACTAGTGGTGATGACGATCCTTGTAGAGTCCGGAATGGCACTGGTGGTTGCATGAGTGCGTTTCTCTAATTCTGGTGGTCCTGCTGTGTGTTACATCTGTCAGAGATGGGCTTTCCCTCCCTACCCTCCCAGCCCCCACTTTGCTGTTACTGTATATTCCTAGGTCATTTCTCCTTCAGTGTTTGCTTGCTTGCCATCAGTATTTTCAGTATGCAAATTGTCTCAGTTGGCCAATGCAGGTCCCTTCAGGCTGGCTTCTGTGTCCTTTTGCTATGTCCCCATCAGTTTCAAGTACTTTGTAGCTTTGTGATGCTAAGTGATGTTCCATTTTTCCTTGAACTTTTCTTGCTCTGGACCTGGAATCTACCATTTATTTCTCCAAGGGGCCCTATTCCTTTTAGAGAGAGATTAAAAAATCAGAATATAGACACTGGGTGTCATCGTTTCTTTGCCTTCCAGTGGCCAGAGGTAGAGGAGAGATGTGTGTCTGTGTACACGTGTAGTTTTTACATATTGCACACATTCATGTTTTATGTACACACACTTATATAGATTAAATACACCGTGCTTCATGTTAGCAGTTGTTAATAATTAAAATGTTAAAATTGATTTGCCTGCTTCGTATCCTTTGCTTGCCCACATCACTTCTGTACAAAAGGCAGAGAGAGATTACAGGTGCCTTATGAGTCTGGTGAGGGTGCTAAGTTCGGGTTCCTGGACAGTGTCAGGAGGCAGACATCAGCTCAGCAAACACTGAGACTGTGCTGTGGGCCAGGTGTCTTGCCACTCTCTGGTTAAGTGAAGGACCCTTCCTTCCCCTCAATGTCTTGTTTGTTCATTGGGAAACAGCACAAACATGGCACAGGAGGCCAGTGACTTTCATGAGGGGGCGAGTTTGGGCGGAAAGGTTGGGTAGGTTAAGGTGGAGGCCCAGAGCGCTTGCCCATCTGGCACGCTGGGAACCAGTGTGAGTAGGGGGCTTCCTGGGATGTGAGCTGGGCCGTGAGTGCGCACTGATTTCCTCCAAGGGACAGTCACCTTGTCCCTGTCCTTGCCTCTGGGCCCTTCAGGTCTGAGGGAGAGAAGGCCCCTGGACTGAGAAGTGAGAACATCTTGGTTTGGGAGATTAGAGATTTAAACAGCTGAAGCAAGAACTAGAACTGCCCTGGGCCTTCAGTGGATTGCTGACCCGCCTGCTCAGCTGAGTAATGGGGCCAGATGCCTTTAAAATACATTAGAAGAGGTGCCTTGGTGGCTCAGTTGGTTAAGTATCTGACTCTAGATTTTGGCTCAGGTCATGATCTCAGGCTCATGAGATTGAACCCCGTGTTGAGCTCTTCACTAGGTGGGAAGTCAGCTTGAGATTCTCTCCCCCCTCAGCTCCTCCCCATCTAAAAAAAATAAATTTTAAGTATTTTTTAAAACATGTTTTTAAGAAACCATTTGCTGCATTTAGAAATTAAAGTAAATAAAGCTGGGTAGATGTGCACTGATGATTTTCAGCCCTTGGCTGTTCCGTGTTGGGCATATTTTAAATTTTTGGCCTTGTTTTTTACTTCTTAATAGAAAAGCTCACTGATCAGGTGATGCAGAATCCTCAAGTTTTGGCAGCTTTACAGGAACGGCTGGATAATGTCGCCCATACTCCTTCAAGTTACATTGAGACGTAAGTATGCTATTCGTGGGATGCAGTACAACTTTAAGAAACAAAGGGGAAAAGACCGATTTCCTGGTTCCTTAGAACAGGAGTAAGTGTCTTTTTTATTGAGCAGACTTTGGGTCCTGAGAACCGTGCACTGGGTTCTAAAGAAGAGCCCTGGGCTCAGTGGGTGGTAGAAGAACAGGCCTGGGGTGGGGGGGTGAAGAGACGGCTGTGGGCAGGGCTCAGGGTGGGGTGCTGGCTCCCTGCTGGCTCCCAGGCAACCACTCCCTGCTCTCCGCAGGTGGACGTGGTGATACTGCCTAGGAGTAGGAGAGGTGAGGATGATAATGGTCTCTAGTTTTCTGGCTAGACTCTGGGCGGGTGGGTTGGCGTTTGTGGAAAGGAAATGCTGCAGGGAGGGGCAAAGTTTCATGGAATAGAATTAGTTCCATGTTGTACATGCCATATGGTCAGTGCCTGCTGGGAGGACGGTGTGGAGTTACTGTAACTGATTGGAGGACAGCTGGATTTAGGATAGTAGGGCTCAGTTTGCTTAAAATCATTTGTTATTTTTATTCCATTGGAAAGGTAGAGTGAGATAAAAGGTCATTGTAATTGTGTGATTAATTCAGAAAAGAAATATAGGTGTTCTGTTATGTCTGCCATTTCATTCGGCCCCCACTGTGCTTCCACCTTATCCTGCCAGCAGTAGTCCTAGAGATGGGCCTAGTTAAGAATCTTGGTAGAGAGCCTTTCCCCTGAGGTAGCTGTGGATAGGGTAGCAGGGGCCCTTTGTGATTTAAGGCTGTGCTGGTGTACTGTCTAAATGGTACTGTGCATAGGAGCAGCTGACACCATGCTGTGTGTTGTTGGAGGAAGGGTTGAGTGCCCAGGCTAGTGCTCGCCCTGCCTTCAGGGCTCAGCCCATATGGATGCCATCCATGGGGGCTGTGGGGGCCGTGATGAGGCCCAGTAATCTGCTCTTTGTTCTACATAGTGACCAAGGGCTTCAGGTTAAACATATAGTTTTGATGGGTTAAAAAGGATTTTTTGCTTTTTCTGATTTATAAAAGTAATGCATACAAACTGAAATATTTTTAGAATACAGAAAGTACTGAGGTATCTAGGCAGCTCAGTTGTTAGTTGTCCGACTCTTGATTTTGACTCAGGTCATGATCTCAGGGTTGTGGGATTAAGCCCCTCGTCCAGCTCTCTGCTCATCATGGACTCTGCTTGTGGAGAAGTATGAAAAAGCAAAGAAGCTCAAAATTACCTGGCTCTCGAAGGGAACAGACCCCATTTGTCTGTGTTGTGTCTGATTTTCCACTTAGTGTGTCAGCATGAACCTCCACTGGGTGCTGAATATTCCTTGAAAACATGATTGTGGATAAGCTGTGCTTGTTCAGTTTGTCGTTATTTCCAGTTTTTCACTTTTACAAATAATGCCTCAGTGGACATCTCAGGCATAAGTATTTGGTTATTTCCTTGGTGTAACTTCTTGAAGTAGAGTTACTGGACCCAAGGAACATTCAGGTTCAGCTTTGCCTTGAAGGTGCATGAGTTGGTTAGAGGGCTTCTTTACCTTTACTCTCATCAAACCTGGGAGATTTTTTTTAATTGCCAACTTGGTGAGGAGCAGACAGTGGTTCTTCTAAATTAACATTCTTTGGACATTTTGTGGGAACCTTCTTTCCATGTTTACCTGTGTTTTTTCTTTTGTGGGTTATCCGCCTGCATCTCCCTGCCACCTTTTGGGATGTTTATCCTTCTAATGATGTGTAGGAGCTCATTTCTATAATAAGGATGTTAATTCTGTTAGTCTGAATTTATTTTAAGAAGATTGAAAAGCACGCTGCCTTACTTAGTGGACATAAGGATGTTTGACTTCCTTTCCTCTCAGTCTGCCTAAAGCTGTGAAGAGAAGGATCAATGCACTGAAACAGCTTCAGGTGAGGTGCGCCCACATAGAAGCCAAGTTCTATGAGGAGGTCCATGACTTGGAGAGGAAGTATGCTGCGCTGTACCAGCCTCTCTTCGACAAGGTGGGCAGCTCTCTCATACGTTGCATGTGCAGGGGCAGAGCTTTCTTCAGGGGAGACCTCCATGCTTATGGAGTGGGGGACCCTTGAATGGTTATCCTTCAAACCCTAAGATTTTGGGTCTGAAGTTATAAAAGCATTGGGTATTCGCAGATATTTGCAAATTGAATGAACTTTTGAGTTTCTGACTGAGTTGCTGTAACTCTAAGAAGGTCTCGTTCTTACTTAGAGAAGGGAATTCATCACTGGTGATGTTGAGCCAACAGATGCGGAGTCAGAGTGGCACAGTGAAAATGAAGAGGAAGATAAATTGGCTGTGAGTATTTTTTTTTTTTTTTTTGAATGAGTGCGTCTTGTGTTGTTTTAGTGCTATTAGAGGTAAGAAACCTGAACGTTTTTTAATCCATGGTATGCCGTCACCAAGAACAGAGAGCTCCTAACTTTAGGTGCTGTTTCACCCTGAGGTTGGTCCTTTAGATTTCCTTATGACTGGAGCACTGAGCAGCTGGCAGCCTGGTGTCAGTCAGTTAATACCATGAACCAGATGTGATTTCCCTTCTCAGTCTAAACAGCTCCATGCTGTAGGATAGTGAGCTGTGGGATCCAACAAACAGAATTGAAAACATCAGGAGATGTCTTCCATCAGGACAAAAGCCAGACACCACAAGGGGAGAGGACACCTCTGTCTCCACTCACTACATGGTCAGGGCCCCCCTCCTCTAGGACTAGCAGTGGCGGTGAAGGAACCACAGTGCACCCAGCCAGTTGGGATTGGGAGCTTCTCATCCCCTGCTCATAGCCTTCAGCAGATCCTATTCCAGTGTCCCAGAAAGTTCCAGCATGCTGTGGGGTAACTTTGTCCGCCTGATTCTTGTTTGGAAGACAAGCAACTTATATTTTTATCCTTTTTATGATCCATTCCATCAGGATTACTTTTTTAGAGAATTCTTTTTGAAGTGTATGTTAGTTTTAGTGACCGTATGTTTTTGATCTTTCAAATATATTGTAGAACTGGCCTGGTTGAAGCTGTGGCTATGGATGAATCTAGTTGTGAATCATTTCCTTCTTGCTCAAGAAAGATCTGCCTCTATTAATTTGAAAAGCTCCTTATCATTTGCGCATAAGAATCCCATGTGGTGAAGCATTTGCACTTAAAGTGGTTCCATTTAGTGTTGTGCCTGACCTCCCTGGGCCTGCCCTTTCCCTGGGCCCTGATGTTAGAAATGATCCCTCTGCACATGCTTGTCCGGTCATCTCCCTGATGTTTGCATGGGAGTTTCTGTGCAGACATTTATAGCCACCTCCTTACCAGTGGATGTACACACCATTTGGCGTTCCTTGTTGCCAAGGGCCCTGGAGTCCTCCAGTCTGGATGGCAGGTTGTCCCAAGATGAACATCTCATAGAGCTGGCACTTGGCACCTTTCCCAAGTTTGATGGTATTGTACCATCTTTTAAAATTATATCACAGAATCACATCTGAATGGAATGCTTTGATTGCTTTGTTCCTTAAAGTCACTTTAAAAATGGGACATGCGGGATCCCTGGGTGGCGCAGCGGTTTGGCGCCTGCCTTTGGCCCAGGGCGCGATCCTGGAGACCCGGGATCGAATCCCATGTCAGGCTCCCGGTGCATGGAGCCTGCTTCTCCCTCTGCCTGTGTCTCTGCCTCTCTCTCTCTATCTGTGTGATTGTCATAAATAAATAAAAATAAATAAATAAAAAATATTTAAAAAAAAAAATGGGACATGCATGGTTGGCTTGGAGATGCAGATGCATAGAATACAGTTTTTGATAGAAGTGTGTGCAGGACTCTGAAATTTACATTTTGCATTAAGCGGTTGAATATAAGTTTATTACTTTGTGGTAAGTATTCTGTTCTCTCTCTCTTTTTTTTAGGGAGATGTGAAAAATAAAGTAGTCATAGCAGAAAAAGAAGCAGCAACAGCAGAGGAGCCAAACCCCAAAGGAATTCCAGAGTTCTGGTTTACCATCTTTAGAAATGTAGATATGCTAAGTGAATTAGTCCAGGTAAGCAAATTTCCACCTAATAGAGTGATTTCGGTCTTAATTATTTATCTGTTAACCACTTAACTCTGTGTTTAGCAGTTGTTCCTGGGGGGTGGAAAGGCACTTGACCAATAGCTCATATGTGTGGTCTTGATCTCCTGGGGCCAGGGTCTCACTGTTAGAAGCCTCCATGCTACCTGACACTGAAAGTGCTGCTGGGAAGACCTGTGCCTCTGAGAGTGAGCCAGACTTGTAGTCTTCCTACCTCCATGAAGGCCTGCTGCCTCCCCCCTAGAGCACTTACCAACAGACTCAGAACCTTTCCTCATCTTCCTGTGAATGAACAAGTGGGAAGATGTGAGGGCAGGAGACCAGGAAATTGGCCAACAGGGTCCATAACTTGCTGACCTAGCTGTTGTTTCTGGTTTTCTCTCCAGAGATGTGAGGACCAGCAGGCTTGGTCGATCCTATATTTAGTGGCATCTAGTGGTAGTGTAAAAGCAGCTGGGCTCCTTCCTATCCTGCCTGGCATTGATGGTTCCCAGTGCTCTGTGCCAGAGAGAAGTGGCACCTTGTTGCTGTCACCTAGGCCCAGTGGTCCATGCACAGATTTGGATGACTTCCTAGGACTTACTTGATGAGGCCAGAATTCCAGCCAGGGCTGCTTCCCAGCATCTGGGATTGTGTCTGATGTCCAGTCAAAGGGGGTAGTGTGTGTTGTTTGGAAAAAGCCCACTAGAATTTTTTTTTTCCTCTTTATGATCAGGAGTATGATGAGCCTATCTTGAAGCACCTGCAGGATATTAAAGTGAAGTTTTCAGACCCTGGGCAGCCAATGGTGAGTACTGATTGAGCTCCTGATTGGCATCAGAAAAGGTCAGGGCACTGAGGGTGAGGGGCTTGGAGCCAGGGTTGGGGATACAAACCTGGTCACATACTTGCGGGGGATGGTCCTGAGGAAGATGCTCACCAAGAACTAGAATGTTGTCACGTGGCCTTCCTGGGCCTTGCCCAGTAGCACTGCACAGCCTGACAGCTCGAGGCATGGGCTGCATGTGGTGGGTGCTGGAGTCTGCAGCAGTGGACTCCCTTGCCAAGGTGTCTGGCACTTAGTTGACACTCCCTGACCTAGCTTGTTTCCTGTCAAATGGGACAATGTCTTTGTTCTCAGTATCTTTCAGGTTTGTGAGGATCTAATGTCTGTAAAGCAGGATGGTAGGTATATACTCAAATACGAGCAGCACTTTAATAGGAACCCAAGATGCTAATGAAAGAAGCCTCTATTAAGTTTTACCTAAAATAACCGCAGTTAGACAAACCTGAAAAACGTGTCCTTGCTTTGACTGTCACAAAACAGCTCTTAGTAGCTAGTGAGAGGAGTCTGACTGAAGCCAGCCCTTCCTTTCCTCCGGGGAATGGGGCCTGCCAACCTGAGTGAGCTGGGTCCTCATAGAGGCACTGTTCGTGGCCTCTTAGCCTGGCTGTGGCTGACGGGCTCCATTCCGGTGTGACAGCAGTTCCAGCGGCACTTGACTGACTGCCTCGTGGCTCTCAGGTTCAGGTCCTGGGGACACAGCCTGGGACCTAGGGCCTGGCTCCTCCCTCCCCATTGCAGAGCACTGGCCCCAGCTCAGGAATGAGGGCCAGTGTACGCGGGATGTCTCTCCCTGCTCCTGCAGGTACTTACTGGGGCAAGGGGCAGGGGGATACGCTGGTTCTGTCCCTTTCACTTCTCCTGCCTGGGTCACTCTGGGAGGTGACATTCAGCTTTCCCTCTGAGGATGTGGGGTGCTGGGCACCAGCTGAAGTGATGTCAGCTCGAAGGTTGAGGGGAATCCCTTTCCTACTGCACCTGGTTAACTGGGTTATCAACAAGGCCTTCTTGTTGGTTATCAACACGAGGCTGGGCCATGGCACCCCCTGGAGGCTACATGGGGCAGCCAGAGCTTGTTGGCTTGTGTTTGGGGGTGGGGTGGTGGTGGAGTGCATGCTCTTTTAAGATTCTGTGTCCGTTTTTTCCCCTAACACTTCTTTCTCACATTTATTAACTATTAATTTATTTTTTCCCTCTCGCTCAGTTCTTTTCTTTTGTTCTTACACTTGTTTGGTGATTTTCTGGATCTGTTTTCTTTCTCAGTTTGTCTGGCATTTTCCTCCATCTCTTACAGTGATTTATAGACAAACAGGAGCCTTAGTATTGGGAGATCACCAGCCAGTCTTCTTTCTCCCCCTCGTTACCTCCCCCGTTATAAAAGTCATACGCACTTACTGTGAGTGAGGAGGCATCATCTGTCGTGTAGAAGTAACTCTCAACTGTGGAGTCTGTTTCCCCATAACCTTTGTCCTTTTAAAATTGTTACGAGATATTTTAGACATTAAAACTAGAACGAGGGTGCCTGGGTGGCTCAGTGGTTGATCGTCTGCCTTTGGCTCAGGGTGTGATCCTTGGGGTCCTGGGATCAAGTCCTGCATCAGGCTCCCTGCAGGAAGCCTGCTTCTTCCTCTCTCTATACCTCTGCCTTTCTGTCTCTGTCTCTCATGGATAAATAAATAAAATCTTAAAAAAAAAAAAAAAAAGAACAAGAGATAAAAACCATCCAGCCTCAGAATGAAGCAGGGCCAGTGTGTTTGCTTCTCCCGTGACCACACCTCTCCTCTTCAGGGTCTCTAAACTTACCCTGTAGCAAAAAGGAATTACATCTGTGGACAATGTTGTATAGGCTCTGCTGGGTGGGGAAATAGTTATTATTGCCTCTGTGGGCTATAAAATGGTTTATTTAATGTTGGCCACACATGCCGCTGCCACCTCCACCCTATTTTGAATTGTTGCATTATGATCAGCACACTCGAACCTAAATCATTTGTTCAAATTTTGGGTGGTTTCCTCAGTTTAGATTCCGTTTAGTACAGTTTTACTGGGTTAAAAGAGGTGGACCTTTATAAGACTCAAAGGTTCACTTCGCATATTTTTTACACTTTATTTTTTGTAATCGTGGTTTTTTCCCTTTGTTTTGAAATAATTGCAAGCTTAGTACCTGAGCTGCAGCAACACAGTGTTCCTGTGCTGCTTCTGCTCAGACTGGAGCTACCAGGTGGGGCCCTGTGGGCCATGCGGGGCAAGGGATTGCCTCCCAGGCTTTTCTTCTTTCTTTTTTTAAAATTTTATTTATTTATTTATGCATGAGAGACGGAGAGAGAGGCAGAGACACAGGAGGAGGGAGATGCAGGCTCCATGCCAGGAGCCCGATACAGGACTCCAGGATTGCACCCTGGGCCAAAGGCAGGTGCCAAACCGCTGAGCCACCCAGGGATCCCCTCTACTGCCTCTTGATTTTGTGTCTGCTGCTTTCTACACACCCTGCGTCCATTGTTCCTCTTATGCTTGTCTCTTCAGATTATACAGTGCTTTTGAACAAAAGATGAACTTGTCCCATCCCTGCATAGAGGGGCCCCTTCATACAGCAGAGAAGGCAGTGCTGTGCCTGAGCCCAAGTACAGAAGGGGCGGAGGGCTGGACCCCTGACGCCTGGTTTCCCAGTCCAGACCCCCCACCTCTGTCAGGGTGGGCCCTGCAGCAGCAGGGAGAAGCTGGGGTTCCCTAGGAGAGCTTGGACCTCCACTGGGGAGGGTGCCTCAGAGGGGCACGCAGGACAGGTATTCCCTCACCTGCCATTTGTGTTTTAACTTGATGCTGCTGTTTTTTTGTAATAAAGATGTTTTTCTTGATATGTGGCCATACCTGTTGAACTTTTCAGTAGTGGTTTCTGTGACATTCTGCTCAGGGAGGAGTTGGTCTCTAGTACATACCATGCCGTTCATAGTCTGTCACTGGTGGTTTGTAGACTGACCTGAGTTTCTGTATTTAGTCTTTTGTATTAGAGTTCCACTTTGAACCCAACGACTACTTTACCAATTCAGTCCTGACAAAAACATACAAGATGAAGTCAGAACCAGACAAGGCCGACCCCTTTTCCTTCGAAGGTCCTGAAATAGTTGACTGTGATGGGTAAGTACATACCATTTCAGCTTCTTTTTGGAAATAAAAACAGATAATTTTAGAACTTAACGAGTAAGAGAAAATAAGAATAAAGCAAAATGTCATTAATCTTCTTAAAAGCCCAGTGGACAAAGATTTAAATTATTAAATAGTCTTTCTGTTTTGGGGGGTATGACCGCCTGTGCTGGGACATGTGTCATGGAGTCACATGTGCCACCATGGGGGCTGGTAGCCCAGCTTCCTCATCAGATGGAGGGATTGGTCCTCAAGCTCCCTTACATGACACTGTCCTCACTGAACTGATAAGTGACCTTCAGTATTTGTTGAGTGAAGAAAATGAGTCCGTGCAGGGCAGTATGGGTCAGTTGCTTGATTCGGAAATTGGTGGGGCAGTTTAATTGTTATCTGACTCATGATGGAGCCCCTTGGTGACTTCAGGGGAAATCACCAGGAAGAGAAGGTGGCTTAGAGTTCTTTCCCCTTGGTGTGTTTGAGGTGGTTTGGGAAATTGTTTTGTCTTTGAATTGGCACAATTACCTTAGTCGTGGGACAAGTACTTCTGAATCTTCCCAGATGAGCAGTTCCAGAGCTTTCTTAAAACCCTTCTAGGCTCGAGTGGTGAGAGTGACTGAGAGAGCATTTCCCAAGGGGAGGCTGTTAGGTGACACGTAGGCCCGGCTTACCAGGCATGTTCCCAAGCAGACACCAGTCTCATGCTGCCAGGGGTTCCCTGTGGGTCCACAGTGACGGAGGGATGAGCAGTGGTACAGGGTTTGCATTTGCACCCAAGAAGGCCCATTCAGCAGCCTGGAGCCAGTCCTTTGTGCAGCTATAACTTGCTGCCTCTCCACTTTGTCCTGCCTGGAGAATCCAGGTGTGTGAGTGGGTGACTTGAGGGTGCTCTGGGGTCTGGACAGAGGCAGCAGGTGACAAGCTCCTGAGCGTCTTTTGGGCCTCTTAGCCCAGCTGTGACCCGGCTTGGTAATAGGAAACACCCTCTGAGTACTTGGCAAGGGGGGGGGCGTTATGCCACTGTGGTCACAGAACCCCCACCTTCAGGCAGTGCTGCTAGCCAGCGCGGTGGCAGCCTGGTCGCCTGGCCACTTCCCTTTCTCCAGCCTTCACATGGACTTTGTAGATGTGCCGATCCGGCTGGCAGGCTGCTTTGCCTACCTACGTTGTCCAGGTCCTCTAGCTGTGCTTTGGTACCATGGGTGTTCGTGGTCGGTGTTTCTTATGGCCTGTGTCTGCATGTGTGATGGCTGACTGTCCCCATAGGTGTGCTATTGATTGGAAGAAAGGGAAAAATGTTACAGTCAAAACAATCAAGAAGAAGCAGAAACATAAGGGACGAGGCACAGTGAGAACAATTACCAAACAAGTTCCCAACGACTCTTTTTTCAACTTCTTCAGCCCACTGAAAGGTGAGTGGGTTGTGTTGCGGATGGTGATTATATATTACGGGAAGTCCCTGCCTTACCCTTAGAGTCTGGTGCAGGTCCTCTGGTGAGTGTGACTGCTAAAGACACAGTTGCTATGCTAGGGGCCGTGGTGCTGGTGCTCATGAGGTGCGGAAGTGGTAGGGGTGGAGGGAGGGCCCAGTGTGTGCCCTGAGCTCCATGCTGGCAGGCCTTCCTGCCACAGCCCTGCCTCTGTCCCTGGTTGTACTCCAGTTACACCTGCGCAGCTTGGGGATCATTCCCCACCCTCTCTCTTATAAATTTAGTTTTGTTTTGTTTTTCTCTGTGACTTGACAGAACTTGAGGGGTTTACAGATCATGGATTTCTGTTTTTGAAAGACTTAGCTTGGAAACTAATTTTTTTTTCCACCTAAGTCATAAAATAAAGTGACCAAGTGAAGGTTGAGCAACAGGTTTTGAGGGTAAATTACTGAGAAGTCTTAACAAAATTTTTTTTTTTTAATTTTTTTTTTTAGTTTATTTATGATAGTCACAGAGAGAGAGGCAGAGACACAGGCAGAGGGAGAAGCAGGCTCCATGCACCGGGAGCCCGATGTGGGATTCGATCCCGGGTCTCCAGGATCGCGCCCTGGGCCAAAGGCAGGCGCCAAACCACTGCGCCACCCAGGGATCCCTTAACAAAATTTTTTAAACCTGAAAGTGAAGGCCAGGCGGGTTGGCAGTGTTAGAATAGGAGAAAACATTTTCTCTTTATTTTCCGTGAACACGAAGTGATTGAAATCTAGAACTGCCCGCCCCTGCCACAGGTAATTGGTGGGCGTGTGAGTTTTTCTCCCTTGCCCACAGGGTGGCTCCATTTTCAAGTGTGAGCCTCAGACCATGACTTTGTCTCTGAGCTGAGGGCCCTGGCTTCTCAGGCTATGACATTCGCCCTTCCACCCTGTATCTTTCTGGGATTCGTCTTTGATCCTAGAGGATGCAAATGTGTATTGGTTTGGTGGTAACACTAGCCAAAAATGTAGTTGTTAAGTTTCTTCCTTGTATTAGAGAATCCCCTTTGGTGGTCACCTGCATACATTCTCCATGAAACAGGGGCTTTGGTTCCTAAATGCAGTGGCTTTGCCAGAAGGTTTCTTAATATTGGGTTTTAAGTAATTTAATAATCAAAATGAAATTAAGTGGACTCAGAATTTGGCGGGGGGGGGGGTGAGTTTTGGGTTTCTAAAACTGTCCTGTGATGGTTATGACTCTGAAAATGTCCTGGGGTAATTAATGTACACTTAAGCTCTCTGGTAGATAAATTACATGTAAACATAGCTATTTTTAAAGTCGTCATGTATGATATCAAGTGATGAGCTCTGTGAAAACAAATCAAAGGTGACCATAGTAGTGACAGGGCAGACAAGGAAAAGGTGCTGAAATTCAGATTATGTGTTTTAAAATGAAGGAAACAAGCTGTCTGGTCTGGCGCCCTACTTCTCCTTAAATCTATAAGACCTGTCCCAAAGTCACATGAGCAAAGTCCTTGGCACCCAGGCCAGAGTTCCCAGACCCAAAACTTAGCCCGTGGTGGTGCACACATGCCAAGGCTCAGGGAACGTGCGCCATAGGGGTGGTGTTGACACATATGGGTGCCCAGCCCCTGGGGAGCAGCCAAGCCAGGAAGAGCTAGTTGAGGCCAGGGTGGTAAGCCTCCCGCTCCTGGCAAGACTGAGCCTTGAACAAGCATTTCTAAAGTCTGGGTTTTGAATGGTGGTTGTTATTTGAGCATCACTGGGCTTTGTTGAGTGGTTTTAAGTTCCTGTATTTGCCGTCACTCTTCGTTCTGGGTCAGGCTCTGGTGCAGCAGCAGAGTCTGGCCAACCGTGTGTGCATGCGTGTGTGTGTGTGTGTGTGTGTGTGTGTGTGTAATTGCCCCTGTGCTGCACTCTTTGGTGGGGAGCAACCAGCAACACCCTCTTGCCCACAGGGAGTCTTTCCATTGTGTGGGAAGAATGCTTCAGCACTGTGTTCTCTCCTTCCTCCTTTCCAAATGGACACAGTGTGAACCCTACTGAGGTGTGGTGCTTTAGAAACAAGGCTCCAGGATCTTCCTCCCCCAAGAGAATCCTGCAGGGTTGCAGGACACGGGTACAGTCTCCTTAAAGTGTAAATGCGCTGAGTGGCCACAGTCTGGAGCCACTTCATAGGCCTTTCCACCTGCTACCACTAAACTAGGAAGGAAAGTGCTTTTCCCCAGTTGGCATCCTGAGCAGGTTTCTGAACAGGTCTGGTGGGGGCCACAGGGAGATTAGGGGCTCCAGCTGTGCACGGTCCCACCTTACCTCCATGGATCTGCCTGCATAGGCTTGGAAAGGTTTTGGTTGTCAGTGTAACGTGCGTATGTTTTGTCTTTTTTTTTTTTTTTTTCTAGCGTCTGGGGATGGAGAATCACTGGTAAGCTTTGTGTTGTCATCAGAATCTCATTATCTCCAGAGCAGTTGCCCACCTTCTATTCAGTCCCTCCTCCCTCCTTAATCCTCTGACACCTGGGGTGTGTGGTATTCACTACACCATGGGGCAGAGCCCCATGTGCTCCACCACTTTCAGTAATGCTGGGTCCCCAGAGTGAGGGGCACGGTGCGGGTGGGGGGCGTGGTGTTCAGTTAACAGGTTAACATTGGGGTCTTACCTCCTTAGGATGAAGACTCGGAATTCACATTAGCCTCTGACTTTGAAATCGGACACTTCTTTCGTGAGCGGATAGTCCCGCGGGCTGTGCTGTACTTCACAGGGGAGGCCATAGAGGATGATGACAACGTATGTGGGTGGGAGACCCTGGGGGTCCCCTGGTGGCGGGGGAGGGCAGACAAGCAGGGCTCTGGGGTACTCTTAGAGCAGAGTGCCAGCCCCCTCCAGGGACAGCATCCCCAAAAGACCCCAGGTGCTCATCGTGTCCTGCTTAAGGTCTATAAGCTTTGGGTGACTTGGAAATGGGAGGAAAATCTCATTTACGGAAGTCTGGCTACAGCAAAAGGTTAGGACAGAGTGGACTCGTGCTAGCCTGTGGTGTGCTGGCCCCCAAAAATTGAAACCCATGGTGCACAGAAGGATGGTGTGGTTGCAAAGTCCCCTCCTTCCTCTCTCCCTGCCTGAGCACAGCCTAGCTGGCTGGCTTTTGATGGTCACCTGAGATTGTTCTTCATTCCAACCTGGGCTCGGCTCACCGTGTCGTCTTGATTTGTAGGAATAAAGTCTTAATAGTGTGCTGTTAGAAGTATGCTTCAGATATTTATTCCCTTGCTTTTAGAGCTCTTAGGTTTCCTGGATGGTTCTGAGTTTCCTTTCTAAGAGGTTTCTCAAGGCTTCAGATGGGGACAGCCAGAGCCAGGCAGGTTTGAGCTGCTTAGCGCCCAGAGGCAACGAGGGCCTGCTCCTCGCACTTCTCCTTTGTGCAGATGGGCCCATCCAGAGTGGGCTGGCTGTGTAATCTGGAACTGCTTTGTCTGTCCCTGGGCTGGGAGGTAGTTTTGGGGCAGGCAGACATGGACACGCACAAGTCAGTGTAGTGTTGCCTCGTGTAAGTGCTCAAGTTATTAAGTTGACACAGCAGATTGTAGACCAACACAGTCCCGTAGAACTTTCTGTGATGATGGAACAGTCTTCAGCGTGCCTGCTCTGTCCAGTGTGGTAGGACTGGCCCCATGTTATGCTTGAGGATGTAAAATGAAGCTCTAGGCAACTGAGGTCAACTGAGTGTTTAGTTTTTATTTAATGTAGCCAAAACAGTCTAGTGATGACACACAGTGGAAATCTCTAGACTGCATGGTCTCCACAGTTTTGATCATATACCTATCAATTTTAAAACTCGAACGTGCAGCTCATTATATATTGATTTACTTCAAATGCAGGCAGAGTGTGTAATACTGACTAGGACTGTGTGTGTATTCACTCACAACAGCTTTTGTATGGGTGCTGCTGCTGAGCAGTGTAGTTTAGAGGTTAGAAGGGGGAGCCGCACTCAAGACTGCTTATTAGACCAGGGTCCCGACTTACCTCTCATAGATGTGTGGCCTCTGTGCTGCAGTGTCCTCATCTGAAAACAGGGTTAACGGTAGACTCTGGTGACTTGTCAGGCTCTTTAAAATAGCACTTCTTGGCACCATTACATAGTGCATGTTAGGATAAAGGTAAACTTCAGGTGTCTGCTCTGTTGGAAACCTTGCACAACAGCTGGACATTGTTGCAGGAGGGAATGGGTCTTCCATGTTCTCTAGGCTTAGCTTGCTTTTCCTGTGAGCTCTGCAGTCACTGTGGAAGCACTGTTCTATGTCACTGTGAGGTGTGTTTGAAACAGGACCCTCTAGGCCCCTCCACGTTAAGAGTGAAATGATAATACTTAGAACCTCAGAAGATCCACGCTTGAGCCTGTTGGAGGGTAGTTCCAATCTGAGCTAAAATGTAGTTCCCTACAAGACATCAGACCAAGGTCTTTCCCTCTCGGAGGCTGAAGGGCACTGGGGGGGTGTGTGGACCCCACCAGCCCTTAAGCCCTTAGAAGTTTTGTGTGGGCTGTCACTAAGGACAGGCTCCAACAAATGAAATGTTTGTAAGAAAAAGCCTACTAAATTTTTATGTCCCTCGTAGCATTCAGGCAGTAATGATAAGGTTTGTTTTGTGTTTGATCTTGTTCTGAGTCTGATGTGTGGAGTTTGAATGAAAGTCTGACCTGTGGTGTCTTTGGACTTAGAAGAAATTCATTCACAACCACCCAACTACAGTGTTAGGCTTCTCTTCACACTTAAACACCAGGGTTTTATCATGTTTCTAATAATAAATACCCTTGTAGGAGATATAAAATACTATTGGAATTCATGTATCTGCATAGTAAAATGCTCCTGTTTGGCTTAGATTAGCCAGTTTCCCAAGGGGTCCCAATATGGTGTCATGATGACCATCTTATTCCTGCACCCTTCCCCATCCTCAGGCCTTGTTTTGAGTGGTTTTCAGATACCCAGCATCCTATGAACACAGCAGGCCTCATGGCTAGACGGCCCCACAGCATCAAGGGCCAGGATGCCCAGAGGCTGGGCCATGCTTCTGCTTCCCACAGGCCTGACCAGTGGGGGCACTTGACAGGGACTGTGCCTGGGTCAGGCTGCCCTTGTGCTTTAGAGACCTAAATCCTGTTTCCTTTCTTTTTTCAGTTTGAAGAGGGTGAGGAAGGAGAAGAGGAGGTAAGACATGGTGAACATGGAGCATCTTTTCCCTGAGGCTGCACTAGGCTTCCCCTGCCAGAGCAGTTGGAGGTCATGGAACCTTGTGTGGAGCTGCCTCGGGGCCTCCACCCTGTTGAAGCCAGTGGAAGGGGGTGGTGGATGGCAGGTGCTGGCCCTCTGCCCAGTCGCCAGCCCCTCGATTGACATAGGAAATGTTGGTTTAACAAACAAATCGCATTTTCAGCAGTGTGTTTATGTCCATTATCACTGAGAACAAAAAGGTGCCTAGAAATCATTGTGTCCAGAGGAAGTGACCTAAGCACTTATGGACCGTGATCATGGATTTCCTGCTGAATTCGAGGGTGGCTTTCATTTGTGTGGAGTGTGTGCGATCCACAAGAGTTTAAGTCCCGTGTGTTCAGCTCGCTCTCATCCTTTTCTGCAGGAGTTGGAAGGTGACGAGGAGGGAGAAGATGAGGACGATGCCGACATTAACCCTAAGGTCAGTTGTTGGGGAGCTGCCGTGTCCACCGATGCCATGCTGCTGTGCTGTTGGGTTGTGTCCCCACCTGGCGTACCTGTCCTGCTCTAGTTAGAACATGGAAAACAGACCAGGAATAGGCACGAGTAGCCCCTTCGGTAGGATTTAGTGCTTGGTGAGTGTCCAGTGAAGGAAGGCTTTCCAAGCTTACTCAGAAGCTCTCTCTTTGCATAAGCTATTTCAGGAGAGCAGCTTTGTTTTCCAGACCCTTAGTCCTTTCAGGGTAATGGCTGAATGACCACATCAATAAGCTGTTCCATCTATTTGTTTTTGGAAAAGGTATAAAGAAGGAACTTTGGGGGGTTATTTTTTTAATAGAGTAATTGAATTGTAGACATAATTTTGTAGTTGCCTATGGGCTGAGAATATTCACAAGCTATGTCTAAATATCTCTAATCATTGAAAGTAAACTAGGAAGCATTGCTAAAAAGAAAACAAACAAAAAAAAAAAACAAAAACAAAAAAACAAAATGAGAGTGGCAACCCTGTTAATTTTACCTGAAGGTCTGAATGTTTACTGATGGTCAGATCAACTTAAAATGAAGTTACTTTGCCACTTAACACATCTCTTAAATCCAGAACTGCTTTAATGTAGTCCTGAAGCTGTAGTATGAATGTCCTCTGTTTGCTAGCATGAGAAATTGAAAGCTCACTACATCTTAGTATTAAATACATCACAGGCTGTTGGAACACTCAACTTACCTGCCATTTATAGCCTGGGTCTCAGTTTAACTAGACATAGTTTGTCCTCCGTTTTTGCCCAGAGTGGAATGTGCACTAAACTATCAGTGTAATAACCCAGCTCTGTAAGTGTGTGTGTGTGTTTGTTTTTTTAACACCCAAATGTTTCTGTAAATGCATGCTTTACAGCTCCTTCTAGGGAAGGATGAGAGGTGGGTTTAAAACTTCTTTAAATGTACCATATAAATACTGCTTTGGGAATAAGCCTACAGACATACTCACCTCTGCACAGTTGGCCTATCACGGGAGAACTGTAGTGCAAGCACCCCTGTGCTCAGCTCTGTAACATGGGGGCCCTGCCTCAGGTGGCTCACACTGGGCGAATGGGGGAGGTGCTGACACACACATTCATGGTTTGGATTTGAGAACAGAGACTGAGGATGGTTTGCAGTGGGAGCTCCGTTACTCCGTCGCTTGTCACTTCCTTCTGTTGTTTGTCCTCTTCTCTCTCCTTGCCAAACCTGTCTCCTGCCACGTCTGTTTTCTGGAAGGGCATTCTCTCACAAGTAATCTGGCACAGTATAGGGTTGTCAGGACTGGCGCTCCGTGGATCTTCATTGGTGGGGCACAGGGGTGGGATGATAAACTGGGAGGCACCAGGACCGCCAGCCCTGTGCAGCCAGAAGGGCCCAGGTCTTGTCTTTCAGAGGGATTTGTTATATCTGAGTCTGCACATGTGGAGGCAAACAAGGGAGAAGGGATGTTTGGTGTTAAATGAACAGCTGTGGTGGGTTGGGGTTGCTCATCTCAAGCTCAAGATTTTGTAGTCAGTCGTGTCATGAGAAAGTGGCTGTTTCCGCCTGTATAATCTTGTGCATTTTGCTTTCTTTTTTGCTGACAGTTCCTTTCAATTTTTTCCCCATTTAGGTGTAATTTTTGTCTGTTAATCATTCATGCGTTTCTAGGTAAGGTGGAATTCCATTCATTCCTAATCCAATCTTCTGATCTGTGCTTTATAACAGTGCTTTATTGTGACTTTGTGGATAAAGAGGAAGCTGTTGGCCAAGGCACACTTCTAGTGTGCTAGGCTGAGCTCAGGGCTTTCTGAAGAACAGTATTTTTGCACAGGTGTCTGTTGTATGTACTCCTAAAACTGATCGTCAGAAACTACATTTGGCTCCTGTTGCTGAGCCCAGTGTTTGTTGCTGACCACGGAGAGGCGTGATTGGTGTGGCATTTTTATTGGGGACGGGACTGCCCTCCAGCAGGAGCACAGAGCGTGAGGGCCCTGGGAGGTGGGCACTGTGCAGTCTTCATGAGGACCGTGTTGCACAGGCCACCCTGGAATGAGCCACACCTGTGCAATAGGAAGCAGCCCACTGTGCTTTTTCTTGATGAGTCTCGATTGATTGTTTCTACTTTTTAAATTCAGGTGTGGTGCAGACCAGTAGGTCATTAAGGGCTCGCTGACCTTTGAATGTGCTAGAGTTACTATCTCCAAAGCTGTGGTATCTGTGTGGCTTAGTGTTCGGAGCAGGTGCTGTTGCGTGTTATTGGGAGTGCTCTGACTGGCTGGGCAAGAGCTAGCTGTGCCCACCTGCCACCCCCGTCTGCTACAGCATGGGCCATTGCAGCTCTGTTCCAGCCATCAGCTCCTCGCCCTTGGGGAACACTGTCCTCACTTGAGGGTAGGGGTGTTGCACCTGGTCAGAAGGTGCCACAGGAGGCAGGTGCAGTGATGTTCATCCCTGGAAATGTCAGGGGTTCTTGGTGCTGTGCTAAGAGCAGCGGCAGTCAGTGTGTAAAGCAGGGGCTGTGAGAGCTAGGACTTGAACTTAAGGCTTCGTGCTGATCCTGACATTTAAGCAGACCACAGGCCTTTGAGAGTCTCTCTGCATTGCCTTTCTTTCTGCTCGCTCGGGTGGGCTCACATAGAGAACTAAGAGGTGAAGAGGTAGCACAGCTATCTCCTGGTTAAGAAACGTCATAACTAGGTGAGATGAAGAGACACCTGGATCATTTACATGCATATAGGACAGTGTGTTCTGTTGCTCTTGATTGATTCCTACTGCCCCACATGTCTAAAGAATTGACCAACCAGGCTTGCTCCACCCCAACCCGTCTCACCCTGCCAGTCACTGGGAAGCATCCTTAACCTATTCAGCCTGAGTCTCTCAGACAGGGGACCCTCCTGGGGTGTAGTCACCGTGAATAATACCGGCACGTGACTGCAGTATCAGCCAGCACCTCAGTAGTGTCATCAGATCCTTGTCAGGGGCCCGGCTTCTCGGATGGGGGAGGCCATTCCCTCCATAGTCACACAGGCTTTTGGGCCCTGGCTGTGTGCCCCTGTGAAGCTGTGCTGGTCAGCTGTGTGCTTGGTGGCAGTTGTCACCTGTTAAAATTTGGCTTTTAAATGGCTCCGTAACAGGCAGGTTTGGGTTGTTAGTTTGTGCCTTGGAAATACCTAAGTCCTTTGATAATCAGTGGCATTAAGTAACCCGGCTGCCATTGGACTTTGTGGCCTGAGACAGAGGATGCTGGGTTTAGTTGTCATCCTGTTTTGGCCTGTGTTACAGGCTGAAAACAAGTGTCTTGTTGATAAAATTGACATCAGAAGCTTCGGGGTTCTGTGTTGACTTTACAGCCGAGGGCCTGTGTCTGTGCAGATGCTGTCCTCAGCTGGGCCACCTGCCTGCCTCCCTGCCTGGCCCCGTGCTCTCCAGCAGACTTTATCTAAACCCCAAGCTGCTGAAGGTATCTTAAACAAATAGATAATACATTCTCCTGGTTAAAAATAAATATATCATTCAAACAGCATATACTGTAAAATGCCCAGTGTTATAAAACACTGTACGTGTGTAACTCACACGTATTCAGGAAGGTGTGCTGCCTGCCCGTTCCCATGGTGTTCCCACTTCTTAGCTCCATCTTCTCTAACCCACCTCATTCTTGGAAATACAACTGTGGAAACACACACTTCTCCCCTCCCCGTCAAAACGTTGCCAGCTACTCTCCCACCCCTGCCACGGCCATACCAGGCTGGGAGCACCTCCTCGCTTCTCCAGCCAGGCTTGAGAGCCAGTGGGTCATTTCCTTGGCCGCTAACCTGGGTTGCCTCCAGATCCACAGTTTGAGTTTGATCTTTTCCAACCTGGAGTGTTTGTTTTGGTGTCTGGGTTCTTCATTGTTCTAGATGAGCAGGACCCCCTCCCAGAGTGTCCCACTGCTGGGCGGTGCTGGGCTGAGACCGGGGGCCAGTCAGACCTGGTGGGTCCCGGCGATGTCTGTGTGCTCTTCCCTTTAGACTTCCAAATAAAGAGCTTATTAGACCAGGATCTGAGATCACGGTTGTCTTTAGGAATCCTTTATGTGTAATTTTCTTTGTATCTTAAATGTGATTTCCCAAAGAATGTAGTCCAGCTCCAGCCATAGAAGGTGTCAGTTACTTATTTACTCAGAATGGTTAGTAATCTCGTCTGTCTCTCAGGCTGTTGTTGGCCTCCGCACAGAATGCGTGGGGTTGCTGACTGCGCTTTTAAACGGTGTGAGATGTGTTAGGTTGTATTGAAGTGAATGTGCTCCTCTGGGGGCGGGGGAGGCTCTCTCCCTGATACCTTTCTGGAGGGGTAGACATCCCACTTGGGGAGGGATTGGGAGGATCAAGCCATGCCTGTGTGGAGCTGTTGGAGTGACCTCCCAGCTGTGGTCTGCTAGCACAGCCCGTTAGCAGAGAGCACTCTGGAGTGCTGGCAGGACTCTGGGGCTGCTCAGCTGCCTCTGGCCCACGCTGGAGTGGCACTGTTTCAGGTGCTGAGCCTGTCTTAGCGGGAGGCGAGGAACAGAAAGGGGAGCCTGCTGCTGTCACGTGGGCAGGGGCAGGGGGTTGCCCGAGGCTCTGAGGCTGCTATGCAGTGTTGGAGCATGGGCTCCTTTCTGCACTGAGTCTCCGACCCTGACACGTTCTTCCTTCCCAACACACGGGCTGTGACTTAGACTTACGGCATGTCTTGAAACCAGAAAGGCTGCCCTACTGAGACTTTATTTCTGGGAAATTGATTTTTTTTTTTTTAAATTACAATCTTAAAAGTATGTTTTCAGTAACCATCGTTTCAGTAAGAATGAAGGCAGTCAATTGAATCTTGGTTTGCATTGTTGGTTGGAGATACCTGGTCGACAGCATTGGTTCCCTACAAGTCTTGTCTTCTCTCGTTGACAGAAGGAGCCCAGCCAGCCATCCGAGTGCAAACAGCAGTGAGGAGTGAGCGTCCCGCAGGTGCGGCGTCGGGGACTGGTCATGGCGGCAGCACCACCGTATTGGCAGTGCTTCTAACTTGTTTTCAAGTGCATGATTTTGACTTTAACTTTTCCTTTATCCTTATTATTTTGCTTAACCTGTACAGTGGCAACTTAAATGCATTTCAGAAATAGGAGGTTTGATTCCAGCACCCTCTGTGGCCTTGGGTGCAGTGCAGCTCAGTGGACTTTCCCAGGCCCTGCCTTCCGGAGGGCTCTGTAGACCCTAGGGGGATGGGGTGGCGGAAGGTCAGTTGACGCCAAGGGCAGTTGTCTGGGGATGTGGTTCCAGGGCTTCTAGAACCAGTCACACCCCTCCACAGCCAGACTGGATCCTTCTTCACTTGAAGAAACCCATACGCTTTGTGTTTGCCACCACTTGGTCTCCTGTGCTCTCATCGTCTCAGGAGAGCTGATAGAGTAGGGTCCTGTTCTCCTTCGAACATTCTTTCTCTGGTTTTGTCTTCCTCGGGGTGGGGTAGGGGTTGTGGTGCACCCTAGCCCTGAGGCGTGAGCATTTGTGGTTCATCTTTGTATTTATTTATTCTTTCCTCTTTGTGAGGGCTTGGGACACATGCTATCACTTGTCCTTACAGTTTCTAAAACCATGTGTGTGACTGGTGACCTGGTGACTCGCCAGGTGGGTGTGGTCGTGGCTCCCAGGGAGTGAGGCCTGTGTAGAAGGAACCTCGCTCCGTCCTGCCTTCAGCTGAGGGCAGGGGCTCGTTTCCACGACATGCAGACCACACGGCTTTGGGGGGCGGATTGCGGGCAGAGTGCCGGGGTTCGCCAGGCTTCTGTGGTGAGGGGCCTAGGCTGGGAAGCACTGCTGTTAGTGTGTACATGTCAAGTCTTGCTTTGTCAGTACCCCCATTTCTTGGCCTCATGCTCATCTTGTCTTAAAAGCCCTGGGTTCAGAGTGACCTGTTTTTGGCTGGCGTGTGGGGTTTCCGAGTGTGTGACCAGGGTCTCTGTTGCCGGGGATGCAGTGTCCACACTGACCAGGCCTGTAGAGTGCTCAGCCTTACTTATAATACATTTGTAACTGAATACGGTGTTTTCAATTTGTACAGAATAGTTAGAATATTCTATTAAAGTTGTGAAACATGAATCCTGTGCTGTGTAGTCTCTGTGGGGAACCTGGTGGGAGGAGCGGGCAGGGGTACTGGCACCTGCCCCCACGCGGCAGCCCCTGCCTGTGGTTGTGCATCCTCTTGAACTGCATCTGTAGAGCCCTGGGGACGGGCAGCCCCCGGGCTTCAGGCCTCAGCCTTTCTGAGTTGTTTTTGAGGCTTTTACAACCGGTTCTTAGGAAGAGGCTCCAATGTTTAGTTTGCCTGTTACACGTGTACTTCAGACCCACCTCACTGTCAGGGTGGGCTTGGACTCCCTGGGTGGGCCCCTTGCTACCTGGGAAAGAGTCTGCTCTCCCCTAGGAGAGCGCTGTATACCTTTCAGGTCCACAAGGCTCCAGGAAGGAAGATTGTCATGTAGGGGCCACTTTTGATTGATCTTCTCACTTGTACTGTAGTGGTGGAGCTTCCATCCCTTCATAAGAGGAAACGCTACCCCCAGAAACAGCTGCTGTACAAGCCTGTGCTCAGAACCTAACCAGGGAGGGCAGCCCCAGTGGCACAGCGGTTTAGCGCCACCTGCAGCCCAGGGCGTGATCCTGGAGACCCAGGATCGAGTCCCACTTGGGCTCCCCTTGGGGACCCTGCTTCTTCTTCCTCTGCCTGTGTCTCTGCCTCTGTCTCTGTGTGTGTGTGTCTATGAATAAGTAAATAAAATCTTAAAAAAAAAAAAGATGAACCTAACCAGGGAGTTACAGGTGCTAGAAGAAGGCATGCATGCAGCTTCTCCTGCAGCCCAGCTCACCTGGCGCCTGCTTGGGGGCCTGGCTTCTTCCTGGGAGTGTCAAGAAGGAGCGCCAAGGGCCTCCAGTGCCCTAGACAACTGGAACCAGAATGTTCTCACTACTTGAAGGACCTGTGTTTGAGCCCCCACCTGGGTCTGGCCCCCCACCCTCCACCCGACAAACCTGCGGGTGCTAGAGGGTGCCTTGTTCCAGCTGACCCAGAATTAAAACCTCATCCCCTGAGGGCAGTCTGCAGAGATGATGCCTGAGTGCTGCTCCCCATCCTCTCAGCTGGGAGCACCTCTTGGGGATGGGCCCCTGGACCTTTGGGGTAGCTTCTCATCCCTGTGGACTCTGGTCAGGGCTTCCCAAGTTCTTCAAGTGTTCTGTTCCCCTGGAGCACCAGAATGAACCTATTTGTAAATCCACAGCTTATGGGTCACTACAGGATTAGCAGCAATTGCACAAAATGTGCTCAGGTGATTTGCAGGAAGTTCGCAAGGACAGTTTCAACTCTGGGAGCATCCGATCCCACTGGCCCAGGGGTCACTGAGCATGACCTTGCAGAGGAATCCTTTCCCACTGGTTCCTGACCATCCTCAGTGGTGACGGACCCATGTTCGCTATGAAGCAATGGCCTAAAGATTGCTGGGCCTTGCTGATGAAATGTGGGTCACTTAGGAAGAGTTTTCTCTGATTGGCACAGCGCTGGCTGATGGGCGCTGAGGAGATGGCTGGGGTGGGGGGCATGCTCTGTAAAAGCTTCTCTGCCCAGCAGTTCCTAGGCTCTGGCGGAAGTCCAGGGTGCGTGTGTGTAGAGTGCGTGGCCAGTGTGTGCTGTGGTGGTTTGGAATGTCAGGCATTGGGGGTGGAGGAGGGCAGCCTGGGCCTTCCCTCAGAGACTGGCCAAGTCCATGCCCCTGAGAGCGGGGTACTTAGGAGCAGGTAGTGGCCAGCCCCGTGTGGGTATGCACCTGCGCACTCGCGTACACAGCGGCCACCTCTGGAGTCTGGCCTGAATAGGAAGCTGGAGAGAGCGACTGGGCACCTGGGGTCAGTGGGACGGGGAGTTGGACGGCCTGGCTGTTGGTGGTGAAATACGTGGTACAGATGGTACCACAGCGGGCAGCGGGAGGAGTGTTTGGATTGTGACTGTCTCTGGAGGCACTAGGTTCCATTTCCCTGTGGGATAAGAGTGTATGAGCATGCCACACCCACCCACATGTGGGCTCAGTCACAGAGCGGGGTCCCTATGGCCTCCGGGACCTTCTCTGGTGCTTCATTGTCCCAAGTGTCTGGATGGCAAGACTCCTGCTCAGAGCCCTAAGAAGCTCTGTCGTCCCCAGCTGTCCACTACAGTGCTGCCTCCTGGCCTGTCCAGCTGTCCTCTGACTTCACCCCTGGGCAGTCACAGGCAAGGGAAGGCAGGCTGTCCCCTGGCCGAGGAGCCTGGCACGTGCAGCCTCTGCCCAGGCCTCTGTTGGCACCTCAGGGAAGGGGTTGGGGCGCTTGCAGCAGCTCCGGTAGTCACTGGCTCCACATGAGCCAGCCTGCTCTCCCCGCTGATCCCTGAACTGCCTGGAGCCAGGCCTTCCTGGCCTCCACTTTTGGTCCCCCACCCTTTTTTTTTTTTTTTTAAGATTCCTAAAATTTATTCATGAGACAGAAAGGCAGAGACACAGGTAGAGGGAGAAGCAGGCTCCCTGCTTCCCCCAATGTGGGACTTGATGCCAAGACCCCGGGATCACACCCTGAGCAAAGCTGAGCTACCCAGGCGTCCCTTGGGTCCCCAGGCCAGCATGGAGTTTCTCTCAGAGTTCCTGAAAGTCCAGGGCCACCTCCCATCCCCATGACCTCTGTGGCCCATACCCTCCTCCTTCCTTAGACTGCCTGCCCTGGTCCACCCTGGTTCTGTTGGAGGCCACAGGACCTCGGTCTCCTGTGTCACCCAGACTGCCCATGCAGACTTGTGTGGACACAGGTGGCTGCCCCGGGGCTCAGCTGCTGTGTCCGAGCCACCAAGTATGCCCACCTCTGCTCTGACTTCTGGGAAGTGTTCGGCTCTGTCCTGGCAGACTGTGGGGCATAGCCCGCAACAGGATGGCCTAGGAACCTTGAAAACGTGGACCGAGTGAAGCCGGATACACGGAAGGGCCTGTGCATGACCCATTTTTGTGGGTTCTAGAGTCCACGCAGCAACCAAGGCTGCTGGGGCGGCAAACGTGCGGGTTAACCGGGGCACCCCAGGAGAGGTGAACTCTTGGAACTGCTTCGCGTGGGTATGTCTGGTTGTGGGTATGTAAACTGTGTCTCAATGGAGCAGCCTTTTCAGAAGTGCCCCCAAATCCGGGTCATTTCATTTAAAAATTCCTGTTTTCCCATGGGTGTATTGGGAGTTGTGGCCACCCAGGGCCAGGCTAGTAGCCGAGGTTGCCCACACCCTCGTCCGTAGCACCTGCTCCACTCTGGCGACCAGTCTGCTGTAGGGGTTCATGGCTACCGTGTTGTGGCCCTGACCCACACCCTCCAGTGGCCTGCACTCCCGCTCCCCTCAAGAAGTCAGGCCAATGGCCCGTGCCCTGACCTCAGCCAACCTGTCGTGGTGATACTGCTGGCCTTTGGCCTGCCTTCCACTCAGAATGAGTCTTCCCCGTCTCCTCCTTCCCCGAGTGCCCAGGGGGTGACCGGAACAACGCCAGGTGGGCTGCAGAGGGGGCCCCAGGGTTGGCAGTGGGAGACGTACCCTCCAACCTGGACTTTAGCCTAGGCACACTGAGAGCACCTCCGGCCATCAGCCAAGCCTCTGGTCCAAGAAGAGGCCACTGTGGGGTCGGCCTCCGTTGGAGGGCACTGCCACCCTCACCCCTTGCCAGCCCGCCCAGCCTGTAGCCACATCTGAACTTTGGCCGCTGCCTTGACGGTCTTTCAAGCAGAACGACTTCCCATCTCCCTTCCTCTAGAGGCAGACACGCCCTCCCTCCAGCCTCAGGGAGCACAGCCATATCAGGTGGGGGAGCTTGAGGGACCCCAGGCCCAGTCATTTGGCCTTGCACCCACCAGGAGATGCCGGCAGGCAGGAGCCCCCAGAGCAGGGGCTCCAGGACCCCTCCTCTGCTGACACTGACCGAGCTTTCTATTCTCTGGATCTGGTGTGATTATCCAGGCACCTTGTCCGCCTGGGACCCTCCTCAGCCCGAGGCTCAGGGCACAGTGGCCCGCAGAAGCCTGCTTTCCCACCAGGAGAGGGAGGCCCAGACACCGCCTTGAGGCCAAGTCATCTCGGTGCACTTGGGTGGAGCCCCTGCCCGCCCCAGGATGTCACCACTGAGCCATTCCCTGCCAGCCTGGCCCAGCTGACTCAGCTCAGTGACGGTGGCGGCCGGATGTTACTTTCCCTGTCAACCCAGCAGGCCTGCCTGGCCCAGCCGGGCTCCTGGAGAAACGGGGCAGATCCCTCCCCACACCCTCCATGGGCTCCTTCCTCCCACCCGGGCTGGGGGCTTTCAGGAGCCCGGGGAAGGCAGTCCAGTCTCTGAACCTCCTTGGGGCTTGGCCTCTGCTTCGGGGACATGGGGAGAACCCTCCTTCCCAAAGCCTTGGTCCAGGCAGGGCTGCCCACGTGGCCCCGTGCCGCCAGCCTGGAGCCAGCCCTGGGTGGACTGTGCACTCCAGGGGGACACAGGCACTGCTGGGCGGAGCTTGGCGGCTTCCGCCTCAGGCTGCAGGGAGGGCCTGGGGTCTCGGCTGCCCCCATTTCTGGCAGGGGCTGGAAGATGCCAGCAGAGCTGCCCTCCCTGAGCTGGGAGAGCTGAGCAGAGGAGGGGACTGTGAGGTGCTCCCCCAGGCCCAGCCCTGGCAGGAGAAACAGCTCAGGAAGGTGCAGGGCCGGGGGCTCACCACCTGGCTTCTGGCCTCCAGACCTGGGAGTAGAGAGATCTGTGTTGTTCCAAGCCACCAGATGTGTGGTCACTTGTCACCACAGCCCCAGGACATTCATGTAGGTAGGTAGAGGCGTCCAGGTAAGATGCTCAGAAGTGCGGGGCAGCAGAGGGACGGGATGGATGGGGCCTGGAGGGGGGGGTGGCAGCAGAGTGAGTATGAGGACTCTGGCCTTCAGGGTGGGGGGTGCTGAGGAACCTGGGCTAGGACCCCCAGCCCCTCGGCAGCTCCTGAGGGGGGCACGTACACAGAGCCTAGAGACCACAGGGGCCCTGGGCTGCTGGTGCGAAGGAAGCCTCCAGGGGTCCCCACCA